AATTAATATTCGCCATTTTCAATTTTGCTTGTAATCGAGGAAATTTAAAATAAAAAAAAAAAAAAATGACTCACGTAATTAAGTACAGTAACGCAAATTAAATTAACAACAGCAGCCGTAGCTGGAATAACAATAACCGTATAAGTGTAGGAATTTTGTTCATCGGGGGGTTTGATCAATGAAAAAGCAGATAATGCAGACATTCTGTAAAACACGACAGCAAAAACAGCTCCAACTGCAGTACTAACCTAAAATTTTTTTTTTTTTTTTAATAATAAATTTTTGTTTTATTCATGCATTTCATTTTTTTGTTTTTTTAAATTCAAGTAACTGAATACATACTAATAATAAAACCACGGAAAAACTAAAAACCATATTGGGTACTCGAATTTTCCAAAAAGGCACGTAAGGCTCCGTCATTTTTGTTATAACGTTTACTTTTTCTTTTATGAATTTTTTATACTTTGAACTAACCGATACCAAATATCCTGGTCTGGGTGGTTCGGCTGCTAAATCAAACGTTGCCAATCCCCATCTATGAGTTAATGCTGAACTATGTCGTTTCCAAAGTTCAAGATAAAGAGTAGCTAATTGAAAAAATGTAAAATTAATTAATGATTTACAACAATACATAATTCATTTAAAGAATATAAATAAATTACCCCAGAATGACATGAAAGTGGCAAAGAAGACAGTGGCAGGATTATCGAAAAGATATTCGAGTTTAGCAAAAGTACAAGTTTCTGTTAGTTTCCAATAGTCGCAAGTTTCATCACATAGAGGACACATAATAAGATCATCAGATTTGCAAATATCTTGGCTGAAAAGTAAACGAATTCATTTCAATCATTTTTAATTTTAAAATTGTGATAAAATTCATTTTCTTATCTATCCTCATTTTTAAATTGATTAAAAATAATTCGCAGAAAATTAAAGTTTGTAAAATACTCAAAATTGATAATTCTTTTTTTAAACAATTACCTCAAAGTGTTGTAATTTAGAGTGATCCACCCGTAAAAAAAACAAATAAGTCCAACAATACTGGCAGGTATTAGCATGTGAGTATAAAATCCTAACCAAGCAAAATAAAGAGCATATTTAACACCAAAATAATCTTTGATTTGATCAATAGGTTGAATTTTAATCCAATTTCTTAGTCTTGACCAATCATTGTATAATTTGCACCTCAGTGATGTACCTTTTCTATAATCTCCCTGAAAAAAATTTCTAATTTGATTAATATTTAAAAAAAAAAAAAAAACAAAAACCGAAAAAATTATTTGGGAAACATACATCGTGTAATGGATAGGCAGCTTTGTAAACTCCTTCTGCCAATAAACGATTAATACCAACTTCATAAACTGCTCTTTCATCTTCTGTGTATCTTTGTCTTTCTAAAATAAAATCGATAACACAACTTTTAACACCGGAAGTAAAAAAATTTGGGGAATCAATATCAAATCTAAAAAAAAAATTAAAAAAATTAAAAAAATCTTTTTTAAAGAACATAAATTAAAGTTAACAATGAAGTAAATAAAAAAAAAAAAAAAAAAAAAAAAACAACTAACAAATATGTTTTATCCCTTGCAAATTCAGCTGTCAATTTCGAACCGGTTGGCGGGTAAATTTTTTTATCAAAATCTATAAAACTAATTATCATTCTAAACCAACTTTTAACTTCGTTAACAATATCAAATTTTTCAACTTCGCTTTCTTCAGTTTCTTCCTATAAATAAATTGACAAAAAAAAAAAAAAAGTAACCCCCGATAATACAACAAACACAAAAAATGTTTTCTTTAAATAATTTTTTGTAAAAAAATCTCTTACAATTTTAATGGGCATTTTTAATTTAAGAATTTCACAGTATCTAGCCAATACTTCATTTGGTGCATAAATTTTAATAAAATGAAATTTATCCAAAACTTGATAACTGAGTTCCAATCCTTCATTGATAAGATTCCTTTCGAAAACTTCTCTTTTCCCATTACTGTTCGCATTTGCTTTTTTAGGATAATCTTCAAGCCAAACCAAAACAAAATCTACACTTTTATTATCCATTTCATCTATGACTTCATCTTCTGCATAAACCCTCTTAAAAAAAAAAAACAAAAATTATTTTGATAAACATAAAATTACATATTATTATTATAATAAATAAGAAACCCACCCTCTCTTGACAAAACAAAACACACAATCAGACTGTATGATTAGGCAGTAAAAAAGCCTATTAGTCAACAAAAAATATTTAGTATATCAATGAAAGAGCATTGTTTTTCAAATAAAAATTAACAACTGGTTAATAATTGTATACTAAAAAATTAATAATAATAATAATCATTTAATGAAAAAAAATTCATTGAGTTAAATGTTAATAATCATGTTTTAAAACAAAACAAAAAACCAGCATGTAATTATAAATTAAAATTTTATGTGTAACACAATTGATATCGTTAATGAATTAAAATAAATGTTAAAAATAAATAACCAGTTTAAACACAGGCTGAAATGTGGGCATGAGTACTTTCTTCCTCCACGGTGACTCCTCGTACATTACGAAATGTAATAATTTATTAAAAAAAAAACCTAAAAAACAAACCTTGTGAAACCTTGGTCGTTCATGATTTTGAAACAAAGCAACCTTAGGATTATCTAAATCTTGTGCCGAATGATAAACCGTATATTTGGATGCATTTAAAAAATCTTCATCTTTAGCCGATTTCATTGAAACATCATCGTAATCGTTCAAATCTCCATTACTGTCACCGTAAATTCCCTCCATATTCAAATATCCTTTTTATTTTCAATAAATCTCTTTATTATACAATAGCGATGGCGGTCAAATGATAACAACATTTCTTGCAACAACAAAAAAAAAAAAAAAAACAATTATCCGTTAAATTTTACAACAAACCTACCATAAAAAAAAAAAAAAAAAAAAATTTTGTAAAGTAAATACAAATGGATTACACAGTATGCGGTGTTAATTAATTAATTTTTTATAATACTCATCCCGTTCATGTAAAGTAAATACGTTTTTATAAATTAACTCACACTAATAATTATTACCTGTCGAATTTAATTTAATAAAATCGTTACTTAAACATTTTTATTTGTTAGAAAAAAAGTCAGGTGAAGAAATTTTTTTTGTATTAATAATATTCATGTACATTAAATTTGACCACAACTCAATCTAAACTTACATCAAAGTAGCGCTTATAGTGTTGATAATCAGAACTACTCACGATTTGAATTTTTTTTTTTTAAATTAATCGACCGTACCTGAAAAATTATTTTTATTTCATTTTTTTTTTTTTTTTTTTTTAAATAAAAATAAAAGTAATAAATATAAATTATTTTTTTAACGAATGTTCACTTTGAGGAAAAAAAAAAAAAAATTAACGGACGTCCGTTTAATTAAGTTCATTAATTCATTTGAAAATTTTAAGTGTTTGACGCGAACTTGTTCATGTATTATTATTATTATTATTTCAAAGTAAAAGAAAAAAAAATGTCCGACGGCAAATTATTATTAATTATCAATATTTCGATATTGTATATAAATTAATAACATTTTAATAATTTAAAAAAAAAAAAAAAAAAAAAAAACTATAATAATAATTAACGCGCGAGAATTAAATATTACCATATTTAAATTCTAATTAATTCTTTGACCTTCCGCCGTGACGTCATTTAACCGTCGTTTTGTTGATTCCATTCGAATTTTTCAAATTTTAAATCCTCATAAATTTTCATCCTCTAGTTAAATTTCGCGTTTTTTTTTTTTTTTTTTTTTTTTTTGTTATTTTATATAACAAAAAGTGAGTTGTTATTTACATAACAAACGTTGTGAGTTTTATTTTAAAAGAACACTTCCGATCGACGCCTTTTTTCTTTAAACCATTAACAATTACAATTCAATCGATTAAAAAAAAAAAAAATGGCCGACGAATTTTAATTTTAAATGCATTTGATTAATTCGTGAAATTTACCTTAATATCTCTAGAAAAATCTTATTATTTATGAGACGTCCGACGTAACAATTTAACGACAATTTTGTTTTCTTTTACAATTACACACATAAACGTTTCAAATGAAAAATAAAAATGGCGGCGGCGTCCGTTAGCCATTTTAGCATTTTCAATAAAAATCAAAAAAGTTTCTTAAGATAAATAATAATAATAATAATAATATACAACAATAAGTATTTAAAAGTTTGTCGTTTTTAAAAGTGATAATAATAATAATAATAATAATAATAATAATTGTAATAATAAACGGTAAATAATAATATAAATAAATAAACAGTTATTAAATTAATTTTTTTTTTCTTTTCAAATTATATTTAAATCTAATCATCATCATCATCATCAAGAACATATATATATGTATAAATCTATATATATATATATTTTGTTTTCTGTTATTTATTTATTTATTTATATACATATACATATACATATACATATATATATGTATATATTTCATGACAGTACATTTTTTTTTTTTTAAAATTTTTTTTTCTGTTTTTTTGCACAAAAATATTTACATTGCCTTATAAAACATACGTTCAAAATATCTAAATAATAATAATAATAATAATAATAATAATAATAATAAAATTTTCAATTAGTTTTTTTATAATAATAATAATAATGAAAATTGTACATCATTATACATCATTTTATTTATTTATTTATTTATCATTTTAGGCTATAGACATATATGTTCAAATAACAAAATAATTAAAAGATAATAAAACAAAAAAGAAAAAAAAATCATTATTTATTTATTTTTTTTACTTTCTGCAACCTCCCCCGCCCCCGCCCCCGCCCCGCCTCCGCCTCCACCCCAGTCCCGCCCCCCAGTTCCCGCATTTTCCAGAAAATATTTTAATATTTTTTTTTTTTTTTTTTTTAAATTTAAATCTTCTGCTTTTTTTCCCTTCCTTTTCCTCCTCCTTCTCCTCCTCCTTATTTATTTTTAAAGTACATAAAATTCATTCATTCAATCAATCATTCACTCATTGAATTCTTAAATTACCAAAATAATAATAATTATTACAAAAAAAAAAGAAAAAACAGCAATAATAATGATAATAATAATAATTTGATACCGGTGATTTATACTCAATTTTCGCCAAACACACACACACACACGCACACTATACGGGATTTACAATAAAAACATACTTAATACTATATACACATGTGAAGACACGCGCACACGCACACGAACACGCACACGAACGCACGCACGCATACTTTTAAACAATTATTATTTTTTTCACCGATTTCGAAACAACAACAACAACAACAACCAACAAACAAACAAACAAACGAACACGTTCACGCACTTATACACTCTCACGCTTACACAAGCCGCTTAAATTAACGCATTTAATCACGCACACGCACACACGCATTCACAATCGAGAGTATTTTTTTTTTTTCCATTTTACATTTATTTATTATAAAAAAAAAAACGAATGAATGAATGATCGATGACAAAAACAATAATAATAATAATAATAATAATAATAATAATAATAATAATAATGATGATAATGATAATAATAATAATAATAATGATAATGATAATAATAAATCAAAACTATGAAATTACATGAGAGTTTGTTAAAAAATTCAAATAAATTTCCAGTTTTTGTTATCATCACCACCATCACTATCACTATCACTATCACTATCACTATCATTATTATTATTATTACTAGATGCAGTAGTAGTAGTAGTAGTAGTAGTAGTGGTAGTGGTAGTAGTGATATTACTAATATTTAACATATAAAAAAAAGATTTTTAATTTTCTTTAAATTGCATTCCCGATGTTAAAGCCATTCGTTTGAATTTTAAACACTTGACAATTAAATTTGGGGGGGGGGAGGGAAGGGGGAGGCAAAACGAATAGAAATAATGAATATTATTATTTTTTTTTCCCTCTCAATTTAATATTTAATACCGAATTCAACAACAAAAAGCATTCTAAGGCATTTATTAATATTATTATTATTATTATTTTAAATTTCATTCATTATTTCTATTCATATTTAAACTTTGCACATTACATTTCCCTACGAGAAAAAAAATAATAATAATAATAATAATGATTGGTATTAGTATTAGTTGTTATTAACCAGGTCGTGTTTAGATATTTTATTTCTAAAGGCCACTTTAAACCTAGTTTTACTTTTTTTTCTTTGAGACAAACGAAAAAAGAAAATTATATATATATATATAAATATAAATATATACAAATATATAAACATAAATAGCAACAATGGCGGCTAAGCATCATCACGTCGACAGTTTTAACCCAAAATATATATTAAATCAATCAATCGTACTATTATTTATAAACCAATCATTCATTCATTCATTCATTAATATATAAATAAATTATATTCTCTATTTATCCCACCATCATTAATCAATCATAAGCTATTGAAAAACGAAAAAATTAATAATAATAATAATAATAATAATAATAATAATAATAATAATAAAATGAAATATTTTTGTTTTTAAAAAGCATATTGTAAACAATTTCTTACATATATATATATATATATATATATATATATATGTGTTTGTTTGTGTTTGTGTTTGTTTGCGCACACGCACACGAAACAATTATATATATTCATTCATTCAATCTATTTATAATATCTATTTACATAAATATATATATATATATTAAAATAACTAATTGCGACAGTTTTATATCAAGTCTAAGTCGTTTGTTTATTTATATATATATATATATAATTAATAAGTAGTATGCAAATTATTTATTTACAAAATATGTGTCAAATTTAACCAATTAGTTTTATTTTTTATTTTTTAAAATAAATTATAAATTATTATTATTATTATTATTATTATTATTTAAATAATTCTATGTATTTATATATATGTAAGTATATATACATATATATATATATATTTTTTTTTCTAAATGGTAAATTTATCAAATTAAAAATATATATTTATATAATATATATGTGTTTGTGTTTGTTTGTGTGTAAGGGTTTCATGTTCGTGTATGATTGAGTTTATATATATATATATATAAATATATATTTATTCACGTGAGGTTATTTACCTTTCATTATTAACAAACGAAACAAACATAATAATAATAATAATAATAATTAATAAATAAATAAATAAAAATTAATTTTTTTTTTTTTTTTTAACTAATCCTTTGTGAAAAGTGAGAAAACCGAAAAAAAAAAAAAAAAAATTATTTTTCTTTTATTAATATGTATATATATACGGAGTACATACATACATACATAAATACATAGATACATAGATGTACATAAAAATAAATTTTTTTTTCAGATTTTTATGAGTCGACACAATTTTACATAGAAAATTAAAAAGAAAAAAAAATTCCGAATATAAATATGTCAGTTATTATTATTTGCAATGAGTTATGTATTATTATTATTATTATTAAAAATCTCCATGATTCATTATAATAATAATAATAATAATAATAATGCTTTTGATGAAATAATTTAACAATAATAATAATAATAAAATGCACAAAACGAAAATAAAATATTTTGGAAGTAAATAACCCTCGTTTATATTGTTATTAAAAAATAAAAATAAAATTTTTTTTTTTTTTATATATTATTTTAAATAATAATAATAATAATAATAATAATAATAATAATAATAATAATATTTTACAACTAAAAAAAAAAAAAAAAGCGAAACGAAGAAAAAAAAAATGTACATTTACTTAAAAATTAAACAACAAGAAACGAATTTCTTTTTTTTTTTTTTTTTTTTTTTTTTTTGCTTTTTTTGTTTGTTTTTGTTTGTTTTTTGTTTGTTTTTCTTTTTTTTAATTTCTACAACAAAATAAAATTGGTACTCAATACCCATATCCTATGTGAACCAAATTAAAGTCTTCTGTATCGAAATGATCATCATTAACTATTTCTTCAAAAAAATATATTTCTTGGGGTCATTTCCCGTCGCGCGATGTTCTTCTTCTTTTGCTCACATCTGTCGACTCTGAAAAAAAAAAAAAAAAAAAAAAAAGTATTGACAAAATCAATTTCGAAATATAATTTTTTCGCGGTTAAGGAAAATTCCCCCCTCCCCCTCCCCCCTTCCCCCCCTTACCGCTTTTCCCGATCGCTTACCTTGTGTGATAGCGCTCCTTGTATATCTGATATTTCTCGAATCTGACTTGACGTGTTGTCTTATCGATCTCCTCGTCGGGGGCTCCGTTCCAACTTTACAAACAACATTTCCCGGAGTGCTTTTAGTTGTTACTTTATTATTATTCCTGATGTTATATGAAAAAAAAAAATTTGTCCATTTTTTTTCCTTTTCTTTTTCTTTTCCGATTCGGATAAATGGATGAAAATAAATGACTACTTACCTATTTTCTTCCTCTGACGTTATTTTGGGTTTTTTTATTTCTTGCTCGACCGAGTGTTCTCTACTACGTCCTTTTCCCGCCAAATCAATGAGCGGCTCGTCGTCAGAACTTTCAATTTCTGTAATCATTTCGAAATTTTCATTTCTCGGGTAACCGGTTCGTTCAAAACTCGAAAATTCATTTTTTTTTTTTTTTTTTTGTCAACGTTACCTTTTTTACTTCCGGTCAAGGGTTGAACCGTTTTCAAAAGTTGTTTTTTATCATCGACGCCCATGCAAGCTTTTATCAATTCGGCCGCGTTTTCGCTACATTTTCTCTTGTTCGGCCTCGAATCCGTCCCTTCTGACGTTTTCCCCTTATTGTCCTCGATTATCGCTTCTGCTTTTCGTTTATTTCTCGGAGTCGGACTCAATTTACTGCCACCATTTTTGGGAGACGTTTTTGCGACCGAAGGTGATAAAGGCCTTTCTTCTTTTAACGATCTCGGTGAACTTTTCGGTGTTCCACCGGGACTTCCTCCCAACCTATCGCATATTCAAATAATAATAATTGTAACCTTCGTTTCAAATAAGTACTCAAAAAAAAAAAAAAAAAACAAGGACTTACCGATGCCAGGATCTAGTTTTCCTTGAATCTTCTCCCGGTATCTCGATGAGCAATTGCTCTAATAAACTTTTATTTTTAACTTCCGACGAAGGACTGGATGTGTTCTCCTCCGGATCATCAGTCGATTTAAATTTTTTTCCAAAACGCTTTTTATTTAAACCGTTGGAATCTTTTTCGTATTGATCCCCTTTAATGTGATTGCTTCTGTAATAATAATAATAATAATAATAATAATTATAAATAATTTTATTTACGTTCAAAAAACGTTCCGAGAGGGAAAAAGGAATCCGTTAATTAGTAACGTACGTTACATCGCTGTTGTTATCTACGGTTGGCGGACTAGGAGACAGTGAATCTTCTCTTTTTGCATACGTGTACAAAGGAGGATTAACGCGAAATCTTTCAATGTCCTCGAGCGACGGCGAACCGATTTCAACTTCTATATTTTTATTTTCACTCGAGTCCCCGGCCAAAGCGTCCTTTCCCTTATCATCGAGCCGGGAACTCGTTTCCAATATTTTCGCACCCAATCCCTCGGCCGTGGTATCAAATTCCTTGCTGTTGGTTTCATTCCTTAAAAACGCTTCCCTGATTTTAGTTTCGAACGTTTCCATAAGTAAATTAGTCACATCCGCTTCTTCAATTGCACTTGATTTATCATCATCATTTTTTTCAATCGTCACTACACAACTCATCGACTCATTGATTTCAACAGTTTCCGAATCACAGTCGTTTGGTTGAGAGTTCGCGCGGTTATGGCTACCACTTACCCGTATCTCATCTTTTTGACTCTCGCTTTCCGACGAGTTATTATTATCACTTCCCGAAATTGTTTTTTTTGTTTCGTCTTGTAATTTATTATTATTATTATTATTTGTACTGTTGTGCGGAGAGTTGGGGTCCGTATTATAATCGTAAGTGTTTGAATTCAACTCGGATTTAGAATCTGAACAGGGTTCAGGGTTCGGGTCTAAAGGCACTGGATTGGCCTGAGTTGTATTGTTCTGGATTGATTTTGACTCGTTAAGGCAACTATGCTCGTTTAATTTCGAAGCCTCATCCGTCCTATCGTGATTTTGTCCTTTTTTCTCTTCGGGTTTAGATATTTCTAATTCTTTCGTATGAGATTCATCTTTCCGACAAGGCGACTCTCCCTGATTTGGAGATTTTTCCGATAATGCATCCATCGATTCAATCCCAGAATCTTCACCCTGAGTGTTTCCTTGATTAGCAGGTGATTCTCCTCCGACCGGAGGATTGTTGGGACTTCCGACCCCGTCAGAGTTTTTTCCTTTAACGTCCGTTTCCGGAGACGTGACCGGTTGTTTTATTTCACATATATTCGAAACCGTTTCTTTGATTTCTTTAACGGGACAATTTGTTTCCAGTACTGGTTTCGAAGGAACAACCGGGTGTTTAACGAGTCCCACTCTACTGCCCACCGTTTGTTTTTTATCTGAAATTGAAAAATAAATAATATTACCTAATGGTAATTATATTTATAAAATAATTATAATTTATTTGTAACTTACTGTGAGGATCACATCCCGTTGAAAGTTTTCTATTCAAGGCAAAAACTTTGTTCATTTTTTCTTTTCTAAGTCTATCTATGACCGAATCTTTTCTTATTTTACGACTAAGAGCGTCAAATCGTCGAGATGAATTACAAGATTTTACTACTAAACCTTGTGAGCCTAATTGCTCCGAACTTGATGATCGACTTTTTACTTTTTGCGCTACGTGCACTTCTAAAATAAGCAAGTAAGTATTTACATTATTGTATTGTATAATTACAGCAATCTTTCTTTCACATAACATTTAAAAAAAAAAAAAATACCTGAAGGAGGTTGATCCCCGCTATGACTTCTTTTAGTTCTTCCACCAAACGCCTCATGATCTTCCTCTCCATCACTATTTCCCACGGATCCAAGGCGTAAACCACCAGACGAGTCTTTTTTTGCGCTTTTAATTCTTAACGGTGTTTTATCACCTTTTTTTAAAGCCTTTCCTATTTCATCTAACTTTAGCTTTTTTAAACCGGATTCATCGAATTTTAATTTTTTACCTACACCATCCTTGGGTAATTTCAATGATAAATCGTTTTTCAACTTTCCAGACACTCTATCGATTTTCGAAGTTAACTCGGATTTGATTTTCCCACCGATTTCTTGCGGTTTTTTAACGGCGACCTCTTCACTCTTGTCTTCTTTATCCTCGGCCAATTCCGTCAACTCCATGTATTTGTGCTTTATAAAATCACTTTTAATTTTTAAGCACTCTAAACTTTTCAACTTTTTATTATTTATATCACCGACTTTTTTACGTCTTAAGTAATCGCTCAATTCAAAAGCTCCCGTTTTGAAATTTTTAGTCCTATCTTCCTCGATTTCTTCGGTCGAGTCAACAACGGTATCGTTTTCGATTGAATTCCGACGAATATCAAATGATTTCAATTTATCACTTTCACTACTCGGATTTTCCTCATCTTTTTTTTCCAATATTTTAAATTCGTCCATTAATTTATTACAGTTTTTACGTTTTTCGTAGTTGAGCGTTTCTTCTTTCAACGTCCTCGATATCCATTCTTCGGAATCCATTTTTAAATTAATTTCTACTCTTTTATTAACCGTAGAAACTATTTCGTCAAACCTTTTTGTCGCACTAGTCTCCGACGAATCCCCCGCATGCTTTTTATTTACGCATATTAAATTGTTCTTTTGCTTTTTAGAATCTTTTCGTTTTTTAATAATCGATTTATCATCCGCTAAATCCAAACCCCCGTCGGAAACATCGCCCAGACCTGGAGCTACGGGAATTTTCAATTTTAAAATATTGTTGTCAACTTCACGCTCGGCAACGCGCTTTAACTTCAATTTTTTAGATTTCGGATTTATTTCAGAGTTATTCATTGCAACGATTTCCCGGCCGAGTTTTAAATTCGACACCTTCACTTTCTTTTTATTTAATTTTGAGTAAAAGTCTGAACTGGGATCCCCGCCGCTACCATCCAATGAAAAACGATCTTCGTCTTCTGAATGACCCCAATGACTCGGACTTTTCTTATCTTTACGATTTGATACAACGACAGCGGCGTTTGGTCCGCGTAAAGAAATATGAAGGGGTGGCACTCGAGGTTCTTCGGTAGAATTTACATTAGTGATTGCCGGAACATTGCTATTGGCGTTTGTTAAAGCTGGTGACCCACTGTTACTGTTGTTGTTGTTGTTGTTATTATTATTATTGACACCTCCACCACCACCATTATTATTACCGCCACCACTATTGCAACAGCTGCTGTTACCAGCTTGACCAGATATACTTGAAACTCGATTACCTGAAACTGAGATTTAATTTTTATTATACCTTAATAATGTAAACTCAAACAATTGTGGCACAATCACCTTTTAATTTAAAAATAATACTAACCTGGCAAGGGTTTTCTTGAAGTTGGGCAATTTACAAAAGAAACATCAACCTTATAAGCTTGCGTAACGGGCTCCGTTTTTCCCAATTTTAATCTTAGTTTAATTTTTTCAGGCCCATGATCTCGACTACCTTTATGAGATAGACCACGCCTCCTGTTAGGATTACTTGTTTCTGATGCTGTAGATTTATTTGTGGCCTCAGAATCACTCTGATCCGAAGTATCATTTCGGCGTGATATCTAAATTAATATAGTTTATAATTATCATTTGCTTCTATTCCAATCATATTATTCATATATATATATATATATATATATATATATATATATATAAATAATTAATTTGATATTTTATAACTTACAGTACTGTCATCATCTGAAAAGGCTCGACTGGCTGGAGAAGATGTATATAAGAAAGGATCTTCTTTAGAAGGTTCTTCTTCACTTTCAGAGCTTTCGCTAGGCATAGGCTCCAATTCTCCTATTAATGTAAAAAATAATTACAAAATATTCTTTTAAATATTGCATTAATCGTTTAAATTAGTAAAACATTACCTGTTAAAGGGTTTATAATAAGTTTCTTTCCGTCTGATATTTCTTCTGCTTCCATATTTTTATCAGAAGTTTCCGCAGATGAACAGGGTTTACTAGAAGATGCTGAACAAAAAAATATTAATTGTACTTATCGATTGTTTCTTTCATTTCTTTACAGGTATTATATAGTTGTTTAAATTATACATTCGAAGTACAATAATAATTTTAACTTACACAATTAAAAAGACTGGATACATCAACAGGAGAAGGATCAGGAATGAAGTATTATACGGAATTTAAGATAAAGTAATCTTTCTTCATGTTTATAAAAAAAAAAAAAAAAAAAAAAACTTGAAAATGAAGAAAATTTAAAAAAAAAAAAAAAAAAAGGAAAAATTTTTAAGGTTTAAAAGGTTTTTAAGGTAAAAATAAAAAAAATGAAAAAAATAAAAACCACTTATACCTGTATACTGCGAGTATCCTTGAACTACGAAATTTGGTCTCACTTCTGAATTAGGAAACCCTGCTCTTATTTGAGTAAATCTCTGCATAGATGTCGGATTGGGTTTCCTAGCAGCACTATTAGCGACATTTTGAACCGAATTTTGCGGAAAGCCCTTCATTAAGTTAGGACCGTATCTCCCAGGTTGTCGTATTACGTTCACATTTGAAACGGACGGCATTCCTACAAGACTTTGACTACTGTAACCCGGTACATTTCCCGTGAAACCAGGAGTTTTTACAGCCGGACTCCTCGGTCTAACTGATGGCATTCGAGCCTGAGAATTGGCTAGAAGTTTAGGCGTCATTTTATTACTATAATTATGAGTAAAATTGGAACGAAAATTTTTCTCAAAGTCCACTTTATTGGGTTCCAATTGTTCCGGAGAGTTTTTTCGAACTGTTTTCAACTGCTCGGGATTAGGTGGAGCCATTTTATTGGCGACATTGGTTGCATTACTAGATGATGCCGTAGTTGCCGTGACCGGAGTTCCATCATTTTGTAAAAGGTTCACTAGTAAAGGGCTTGACAATGACACATTGTTACTATTAAGCACTGAATCAGGCGGCACAACGTTTTTTAATTGGCTAACAGTCGCAGTCTGTACGCTCGAAAGCGGTAACTTTTGCGTGAATGGCTTTAGATTGACTTCTCTGGCAGGATACGAAGAAATGTTAGAAGCTGCTAAAAGTTTTGTGGAAGTTGTAGTGATCGGCACATTGGATGATGCATTAACGGGTTTCTTTCCAGCTGGCAAAGGTGTATTTTGACCGGGGACTTGTGAAGGTTTAACTCCTGATGGACTATATGTTTTGGCGGGGTATGGCGGTGGTGCAGTAAAACTATGTTGATTATTGCTGCTAAAACAAATATAATATTTAGAAAAAATTTTGTAAAGTCAAAATAAAAATAAATAAAAAATATAAAATATACGAACCTGTCTCTCCCGTGTTGAGTTTGTGCAGCATGATTCATACTAGTAAAAGGAAAAGGAGGTGGCCCTGCCAGAGGTTTAGGCGAAGGTGGAATGCCAACCCCTGTAGGTGCCACAACATTAGGACTTCGAAAAACTCCAACAGAACCAGCTGTCCCTGATAATGTTCCACTAACAATATGGCCAAGAGAATTATCAGCAGAAATACAGCTGCTGCTATTGGTACAGTTGCTACTACTCTCTCCTCCAGTTGTTAATACTATTTCCTGAGGTTCTCCTCCAAATCTTGTCGCAAGCCTCAGAGATATCACCTGATCCCCTTCTACCTGAACACTTAATATACCCAATGCTTGTAATGCTGCATCTCCAGCTTGAGCCAGGGCTCGCAGCCTTTGAGCAGCATCTCGGGGAATAGTCAGAGTAACTCTAACTGAATTCCAAGGCTCCACTTTATTAACTTTCATTAAAACCTCTTTACCTGAAATAAATTATCATAAATAAATATATTTAAATTATAGTAAAAGCGTTTTTTATAAAACTAAAAAAAAAAAAAAAGAGAAATAAGTAAATCTCACCTGTGCATAACAGAGTTCTCAACTTTTCAATTATTAAAGAAAATTTATTTGGAAAATCAGGATCTCCTAAATCTCCTTGGCAAGTAAACACTGTTTCAATGAGATCATTATCACTAAGTGTTTCTTTTTCTAAACCTCCCCAAGGTAATTGAGAACCAAGATCCTTTTGAGATCGAGCTGAACCTGTTAAGTAATAAAAACCAATACATTAACCGATTCCTTATAAAGGTTTGATAACAAAATATATATCGTAATACCTTTATTAATAAACACAGAGCATCCTGTATGTGGGGGATATCCCACTGTGAACTCTCCATCACTGTCTGCAGCCATCTCATTTACACTGCCATTGTAACTGATTTTACGGGCAGGCCATTAAGATCAATGAACTACAAAATATTAATAAAAATAAATTATTACTGTAAACAAATAAAATTGAAAAAAAGTTTCAAAGTAATACAAAATGATTTTCCAATATTTTTTAAGATCTTATTAATAATATAATGAAACTCTATTGAGGTTCAATTACTACAAATGAAAATTTGATTTTGATTTGTTACTATTAATTACAGATTTTACTTAAAAATTACATAAACATAAGATTTCAAAACAAATATAAAAGTAAATAAAAATAATTATAATGAAATAAGTAAAATAAAATTCAAATAATAATAATAAAGCAATGTTAGATGTGCTTAAGTGTAAGAAAAGGAAAATTTTATTATCATTATTACATGCAAAACATCAAAATAAAAATTCATTTTAAATGAACGCCTAACAGAAATTTATAAAAAAAAAAGAAATTTTTTCCCAAAATTTAAAATCCAATTAATAACGACTCAATGTTTCGCATTCGAATTTATAAAACAAAAACCTGTAATTTCTTGGTGTCAATCATTTTAGGCTATGCCACCCTCAACGGAATAAGCCCGTTGAGACTACCTGAATGAAACTTCATTGAAATTTTTAACAAGTAAACATTGGTTTAGTAGAAAATGAATAATAAAATTAAACACAACAAAAAAATATTTTTCAACAATGTATCATATTAGAAAATCAGTAATTAAAATCAAAATATAAGTTTAATGCATGCAAGCCATCATCAAAAGATATGGCCGCCATTTTGTGAGGCGATCCCCCAAAAACTATGTTCACAAAAAACGTCATTTTTAGGTTACAAACACGAATTTAAAACAAAAAGTAATTATTATATTTACTTAAAATTATTAAAAACACTATAGAACAGTTTATACATGTTTTAAAATCAATAAGCAATGATTAAATAAAATTCACAAAGATCGGTTATTTTTTATAAAACAACATTCGCGGAAGGACAAAATGGTTCCGTAGTCCTATTTTTTAAAAAACTAAATTTCGCAAATGTGCGCTCACCTTTATCTAAAATGTATTTAAATATATCCATGTGATTAAGCATAAAATGTATTCATTGACTTGAACTGAATGTTTATAAGAAAAAATCAAAAAATAAGAACATTTTTGACCGAGCAACAGTAAATTTAGTTAACAATAACACGGTCGGCCATTTGCAATGCCTCAACTAACATGCGCAAACGCACATCGGAACTCTAGGACGTTTATTTCCGTCATTGAAATTGTCACGTGATTATTAAAGAAATACGAAAAATTGTGTTTTAAATAATTATTTAATTCGAATATATGTATTTTATTAAATTATTTTATTTTACAAATACTTTACTTTATTTAATTACTTTATTAAATAATGTAAAATACAGTTTTCAGTATTTCTGCTGCCACGTAAATCTAAAAGATATCAATTCAATCAGAAATTGATTATGGATTAGGAAATGTTTAAAATTTAAAGATATAAAAAGATAAACGTTAGAGATTAAATAAGAATGATAATAATAATAATTAAATTTTTAAAATAAATGATTTATTATAATAAAATTTTGTATTTATGTGACTTGGGAACTCTGCTTATAACTAATCTACCATCATAACTTAAAGAAGCAAATGTCCATGGATCAGCTGTTGACCACTCGACTGCATATACTGAATCCTCATGCTCTTCATAAGTAGCCAATACTCCTTCCTCTAGTCTTTTAATTAGTTAAAAACAAATACAGGTTTTAAAATGACAATTTCTTATGATTTATTTTAAATACATTATAGCAAAGTTACCTTTCTTTTGGACTGTCCAGATTATCATCTCCTGTTAAAACATGTCCTCCTGGCTCTGACGATATATTAGCAGCACATATCAAAATCACTAATGAATCACTCGATGATGTAAGAACAAGCTGGTCGTGAAAATGATTATATCGAACAGTCCAAACCCTATTAAAAATAATTTATTATTATTTAAGAATTAAAAAAAATTTTAACATAAAGAATTACTTTAACTACCAGTGGGAATGATCCGATCTTGAAATAATAGGCTCGGTGGTGTTCCTTATATCCCAAAATTTTGTAAATCCATCATCTCCACAAGTAGCTAAATAATATTGCCTATTCGGATTAAAATCTAAATCTCTACAAGAAAAAAAATTATATTTAAAAAATAAAAGTCTAATAAAACAACTTAAATACTGATAATAACTTAAAAATACCTGACTAATTGAGTATGAGCATTTTCAACAATCCAACTTTGTTTACTCGTTCTAATATCCCAACCTCGAACATAAGAGTCATTGCTAGTAACAATTTGAGTTACATTGTGATGAGGATTCCACTTTCCACAAGTGAATTGAGGATGTCCTTTAGCTTCCAATGTACCCTTACTAGAAGGCTACTAAGTTATGTCATTGAATGTGGGGTTTAAAACTCAAATAAATCATTTTTAAATTACCTTCGCTTCTGACTCATTTATATCCCATATCACAAATTGATTACCAATTATCATTAATGCTTTATTAGGATCAGAGATATGAAATAATGTGTGTTTTATTACATTGTGGCCAAATTGTTCTGTGGGTAAATTTGTCAACAAGTCAAGTTTTCCATCGTTTATTTTCCAAATTGCACTCCTCATAACACAGACATTTTGATCTGTACATATAAATTATAATTTTTATGGTGTAAGTTTATTAATAAAGTACATTAACCGTTTTCTTTCTGTTTTTACCAGTCAATGTGTTATAAGTGGTTGAAATAACGTTAGGATCTCCAGGGGAAGCAGATAAATGCCATATTTCACCTTGGGGGTGATTACAAACAGTAGTATTAAGAGTTTTCGTTTCTTCATATTCTTCAATTATATGAACTTGATTTTGATTCATTTTTAATGATTGTGTTCCTACCATAAATCTGACAACATCTGACTCATATTGTTGTGAAGTTAATGCTCTAGCCTATCAAAAAAAAAAAATCAAATAATTTTATCACATTTACTTAAAAAATTTTCACTAAAAATTTAAATAACTAATAATATAAATAGATTAATAACTACCTGAAATTCTAAACCGTAAATTAAAGGAGATTCTTCCATTGCTAACAATTAGAGAATTTCAAATATGTTAATCATAACACCTGTAAGAGCGAATTAGTTTTTACAGTGTCAATAGAAACAAGATGGGAAAAAAATTTTACGACTTAAAAATACTAAAAATTAAAGAAAAAAATTAGTTTTTAGCCCATCATATTTTACGCAATAAAAAAATAAATTAAATAATCTAAAAAAAAAAAAAAAAACATTTGCTCGATTAATTATTTTAAATATAATATTTTTTAAAACTTTATATTTTGGGCCCCGATTAATTTAAATTTGGCGCCAACTTTGTAAAAAATAATTTTTATATTCAAAAAAAAAGTTGTTTTTAAATTTTATATGTAAAAATAAATAGAAAATAATAAAAAAAACAAGATTTTAATATAGATTTATAATTTAAGAACTCCATTTAGAATATCATTATACAAAAGAGAAGATAATAATTCGAATTTTTGACTTCTATTATCGTAAAAATAAACGGGATCCTTTATTTTAGTTATGTTAAAACCTTCCATTTGTAATTCTTTCTTTTTAAGTTTATACGTTCCCGTCAATGGCAAATTTTTTATTATTCTCACAAATAAGGGTCTGGCATATGAAGGGAGCATTTTTTTCAATTTTTCATCAAACTCTTGCAAATTTACTGACTCATCAACATCGTGTATAGCTACCATTCCAGCTTTTCCCTCGACGTGTGGTACCTGAAACAAACAGTTCAATAGTAGTTTTTTTTCCCCTCCCCCCCATTGAAATAAAATTTATAGTATTTTAAAGTCTTTAAACCTCCACGCCAAAAACTATAGCATCTTTGTATCCAATGATGTTTGAGATAACAGCTTCTACTTCTGAAGTTGCCACATTTTCTCCTTTCCACCTTTTTTTAAAGAAAAAAATATATATATATATAAATTTTTACATAAGGAAAAATACTTATAATCAATGATATTCATTTACCTAAACGTGTCACCAGTTCGATCCTTAAAGCTAAAATAACCATAATCATCCATGACGAGAATATCTCCACTATTGAAATAATTATCTCCTTTTTTAAAAACATTTTTCAATATTTTTTTTTCTGATTCGACTTTATCCGCGTATCCTAAAAACGTACTAATAGTTTGTTTGGAATTAATTTTTCCAACGCATATTCCAGGTTCACCTATAAATGAGCATATTGTTAGTTTTTTTACAAATAATAAAAGGGGGAAAAAAAATAGTAATAATAATAAAGCAACCTGGTTGACATCTAATGCAAAATCCTTTTGAATTTCGAATGGGTTCCTCGGTATCTTTATCAACTTTTAACAATACAACCGGATACACTGGTCCGGCTAATCTGGGAACAAATCCAACACATCCTACTTTATTGTCAATATTAACTGAAATAAATTTAAAAAAACAAAAACTTTATTTCGGTAAAATTACTTATTATTTATTAGGTAATTAATAAAAAATTTTATTATTTCTACTTAAAATACATCTTTGTTTAAAATAGAATTGATGAAAGTAATGAATAACGTATAAATAATTTTTCTGTAAATGGCGGCATTTTGGAAATTCTAATGCCACGTTCAACGTACATAATGATTAATAAAAATTATTTTCAGAACTTCAATGACATTTTTTTAAAACAATTTAAAAGGTATTTACCCATTAAATTTATATATATTTTTTTATTTTTTTGAACGTGTAATTTATGTATAAAAGTTAGCAAATAATTAAAAATTTCCAAAATAATTAAATAAATTAAAATAAGGTATAATTACCCAAATTTGAATTGCCTTCGGTCGCTCCATAAAATTCTCCAATTTGTTTGATTTGAAATCTTTCAACGAATTTTTCCCATATTTGTGCTTTTAAACCATTTCCAAACATTAACCTTATCTTATGTTGTTTGTCGTGACTTTTTTCCGGTACAGCTAAAAGATACCTACATATTTCTCCAATGTAACATGCAACCTTTATTCAATTAAGAAATTTAAGGCATTTTTACAATATTTGTTTTTTTAATTAAAATTTCAAAGCAAATTAATTTTATTCATAAATTTTTCCTTTTTTTTTCTTTCAAATACTCACAGTGCAATTATATTTAATGCAATCTTGCCAAAAATTTGATGCTGAAAATTTTTTTCTAATAACAACCGTTATGCCACTAAGAATCGATTGTCCAGCACCAACAATCACACCGCTTGTATGATAGAGTGGAAGCGAATTATATAAAATATCATCATCATGAAGTTTCAGTAATATTTTAACTCCAATGCTTATAAACAAGTATCTAAATTATAATAAGACTCGATGATCGAATGTTTTCCTTTATACTTTTGTCTACTTTTTAAAAAAACAAAATCATTATTCTCACCTGTTGTTATTAATTACAGCTGCCTTAGGCAATCCAGTCGTACCAGATGTGTATATAAATAAAAGTTTATCACGAGGTTTCCCTGCATTTACTTCGTCTATTAAATTCGCTTTTGATACTTCAGCCAAACCTTTTTTTAAATCGATTGCTTCTCCTAAATTTGTTTCTTCTCCTTCTTTAGATTTATTAAGAATGTATAGTTTTATATCTTTTAACTCTCCTAATATTTCTTTGACACCTTAAATAATTAAATAATTTTATACAATTTCAAAATCTTGATTTTATTCGATGAAATTTTTTTTTTTTTTTTTTACCTTCGCTTAATTCTGATGAATAAATGAGAGCATTGCATTTGGCTGCTTTCAAAGAATGCAAAAAGGATTGATTTCGAAGATTTGTGTTAATTAATGCGCTAACAATGCCTAATTTAGCAAGTCCCAACCAAATGCACATGTATTCTATACTGTTTTCCATGTACAAAGCAATTGTGTCTCCCTTTTTATATCCCTGACTCTTGAAGTAATGACCGATTCCATTTGAATATTCGTTCACCTAAAGGGTGATAATACAAATCTTGATTCGATCATTGCCACCAAACACTAATTTAGATTTTGGATATAAAAAATTGTCGAAACCCATATTAACTGAAATACAAAAGTAGTAATCCTTATGTAAAGTTGTCATGCACAGTTGTTTTATTGTCGACACCATTGGCAACACAGGGTGTCTAATAGAAACTTGTGCATACGTTTATTATTTTTTTTTTTTTTTTTTTTTAAATTTAAATGATGTGTATAAAAGAAAAAATAATAATAATAATAATAATAAAAATCTTTTTTGAACTTCGAACTCGATGGTCGGTTACATAAAATTATTTTTATGGCCGTTGACCTTTATCAAAAATTATTTTTATCGATAATAATAAAAAAAAAACAAACATTCCCTTTTAAATTATTTTTATATATCATATATATATATATATATATTGTTTAACAGGAAATAATCGTGTTTATGTGATGATTATTATTATTATCATCGATTATCCCGCACTGAGAAAAAATATTATTTTACCTATTAATTAAAAAAAAAAAAAAAATTAATTTTTTTTTGTTATCACTCACTTGTTTGTACGTCCATGATATATTTTCTTGATGAAAAGCAATTTTATCATAATTTTTTTCACATATTTCTTGAAAAACTTTTGCCACTGTACTACAATTTTTTTCCATGGATCTTATTTTGTATTTCAGTTGAATGAATCTGATCAAAGCTCTGTGAATATTTAGACGCACGTACGCACACACGCACAAGCACACGTGCACAAGCATACACGCACACACAAAATTGTAAGTAAATATTTACTTTTATTTAAAGTTTTTTTTTGTAATCGTCGTCAAAGGAAAAACCTGTAGTGGTACAAACAGTAGTGGTACAAACAGTAGTGGTAGTAGTGGTAGTGGTAGTAGTGGGTAAAACCTTATCACGTCATTATCACGAGTAAACAAACAAATTTTTACAATCGAAAATGTTTTACTTACGTGAAATCTCTCGGTAGCGTCTTTATTATTATTTCCAACCACATGTATCTGTTGTTTGTTATCAAAAACAACAAAATGGATACCAGTAGAATTTGGGGAAACAATTTCGGTCCTATCAGTATTGATATAAAACCGAAAAATACAATGAGACAGCTCAATACGAATCGTTTGTTGTTGTTTTCCGATTCCATATTTCTGTGCGAAAACAAATCGTTATCATTTTATTACTATTCAAACACCGACGGCGAACATTCGGTAAAAATTTTTATTTGTAATAATAATAATAATAATAATAATAATAATAATAATAATAATAATAATAATTAATAATAATAATTAATAATAATAATAATATTATTAACGGTTTACGTATTCTCTCTCTCTCTCTCTCTCTCTCTCTCGTACGTACCTTCGTTAAAGTGATAAGAAGACAGTCGCTAACGATCGTTTTTGAAAATTAATAATAATAATAATAATTGTAATTAACAATGATATATAATTAGAAAAATGATGATGATGAGTGATGATGATAATAATAATAAACGACGTGCTCGAATTATTTTCGTGGGCGTGACGCATTAATTTTTCCAAGATAAAAATTTTTAATTTATCGTTCGGGATAAAAACGGGAACGAGAACGGGAACGGGAAGGGGGGGGGGGAAGAAGTGTAAGCAGACAAAAAAAAAAAATTAATGGGAATCGGATGGATTTTGTATTACTCGTCGCGATTTTTCATTACAAAAAAAAAAAAAAAAAAAAATTTTTTTAACTTACGCTCGATTAAGAACAAAACGACGGTTGTTGTTGTTTGTTGTTGTTTCGTTTGTTGTTTTTCGGTTAAAAAAATATATATATATATATAAAAAAACTAATAAAATAATAAATTTTATAAAAATTGTTTGACCTTTAAAAAACAAGTTAATGAAACTAAATGTACAAATTCTATATAATGTTGTGTTGTTGGTCGGTTTGTCTTGTTCAGCCGGTTTATGTGTACGATCGTGACAATTATATTCGCAATGATGCTGAGAAAATAAAAAAATAATAATTATTATTTTCATGTTGTTGTTGTTTGTCGTTTGTTTTCCGGGGGGGGGGGGGAAATCTAAACAACAAACGAGTTTTTTTTTTTTTTTTTTTAAAGTAAGATGATGATGATGATGAACGAACGTCATCGTTTGAAATAATCATAATTTTTTTATTCAGTCAAACTTGATCTCGTTGTGGAATGATAATGATAATGATGATTATGATGATAATGATGATAATAGTAATTTAATCGGTTGGTTCGTACACGAACACGTTAACGGTATTTTTTCTTTTTTTATTTATTAGGGCAAAAGTACACGCAACCACAAGTAAAGAAGTGAAAAAAGTTATTATTATTATTATTATGTTTTTCGTATGTTTCAGAGATGGAAACGGGAAAAGATGAAAACATTGTTAAAATGTTAAAAAAAAATAAAAATAAAATAACGAAATTAGATTTTGAAAATTGCGTCGTGAGCGGATATAAAAACGAAACGAAAGGAAAAAGAAAATTGAGAGCGAGAATCGTTGAAGATATGAAAAAGTTTAACGAAACGCCGACGGCGCCGCCACCGTCGCCGGAAAGGGATAAAAAAAATGTCGGAAAATCACCCGTTTTGCTATTGAAAATGACGTCGGTTTGCCTGAAAAAAGGTGAAGAATCGTCGTCTACGTCGACGACGACGAAAAATAATAATAATAATAATACTAATAATTCTCCGGTTTTGTACGCGAAAAAAAAAATTTTTTCTCCCGTTCTTAAAATCAAAATGGAGTCCACGACACCACCGAAACCGTCGTCGTCGTCGTCGTCGTCGTCGTCGTCTCCATCGTTAGTTTATTTTCACAGCAAAAGAAAAATCGTTTTCGACGATGGCGGCGAAAGGAAAATTTGTAAATATTTGAAAAATAATCGTAGGAAAAGAAAAAAAAGCGGGAAAATTTTTCCCACTTTTGAATTTTCAAATTCGAACGATACGTCGGCCGTCGAATCCGAAACGTTTCAACGTAAGCACGACGAATTTGAAAAATTCAAAATGGCGGAAACGGAAGATGATATATATACGATCGGAGAAAATGTCTGTTCGTCTTTTCCGGTAACGGATGACGATGAGAATGACGTCATTAAAGAAGAAAATAAAAATACAAAAAGTCAAAAATCGGATTCGTTCGTACAAATTTCATCGGTCGAAAGCGAATCGTTTTTCGATACACATCGAACGAGTCAAAACATATCGAATCGATCGTTATCATCATTATCGTCAAACGATTGTTATCATTCGATGTCTATTCGTCGTAAAGCAGACGACGGCGACGACGACAACGACAACGACAAAGACAAAGAAGAAACGCCCGAAATAATTCGTAAAACCAAAGGAAACAATAATTATGTGGATACGAAGAAAAACGTTAAAAGGTAACCTTGAGCCTTAAGGTTGATCACGTGAATTACTATCTCTCTCTCTCTCTCTCTCTCTCTCTCTCTCTCTCTAATGGTTACCCATTAAAAACTCATAATAATCTTTTCTTTTCCATTTCGTTTTTATTATCGCGATACGAACGGACGAACGCGAGTTTCTGCTAAAGACGACCGTTTTTTTTTTTTTTTTTTTACGAAGACTTTCGTTTACATAATAATAATAATAATAATAATAATAATAATAATAATAATAATTACAAAGCCTAACGTTATTATTCGACAAGGTTTTTTCGTTAATTCGCATTTAAGTGTCACGTGATAAAAAAAAAAAAAAAAAAAAAAAGAAGAAAGGAAAATTTTACAACCGGAACGGGAAACGTTCGAAAATTGTCGAATCAAAATCGTCGTCATCATCATCATCATCATCATTATCACATAACTTGTTTTCTTTATTGTTATTATATTCAGGCTTAATTCATTCCGCCATGTTTGTCGGTCGGTTTGTCTTCATCTCCCTCCCTCTCTCTCTCTCTCTTTCTCTCTCGTTTGTTTGTTTGTTATCATTAAATGCGCGCGTCCCGATTCGCGGTTTTCAACCGAACGTGTTATTTTGTCCTAAACGTTCTTCGTCGTCCGTGAAAAAAAAAAAAAATAAATAAAAAGAAAATTGATTTCAGTCGCGGATACGTTTAAAAACGTGGAAGTAGAAAATAATAATAATAATAATAATAATGAAATGAAATCGATAAAACAATTAATGGCGTTCGGGCGTCCGTTCGAGCGTTCTCTCTCATTTTTTCTCTTTTTCTTTTCAGATTTGGTTTGATAACGAGACTGAACGTGGTTTTAAGGAAACAATCGTCGGAAACGTTACTCTGGAAACACGAAAAAGATAAAAAATTTAAAAAAAAAATAAATTCCGAAGAAAGATTCGTTATAAAAAATTTTTGGAACGTCGGTGGAAATAATCATTTCGTAGAGTGTAAAAAAGGCGGGAAAATTTACGATGACGATGATGATGATGATAATAATAATAATTATTATTATTTAATCGTTGATTTCCGGCAATTTTCGAAAAAAATGGGGAAAAATTTCAAGACGATCGTATTGGATTTTCCATGGCAAGTAATTTTCCTCATCATTATTATTATTATTATTATTATTATTTTCTTCCTTTTTTTCCCTTTTTTTTCTAAATTCATTTCCATTTTTAGGCAAAAAATTTTCTTGAACGATTTAAACGTCAACGTTTTACTTAACGTCGTTCGAGCGGAAATGATCGACGATTCGAATGATGATGATGATGATGATGATGATGATGATGATCACGATAAATACGATGAAGAAGAAGAAAAATTGAAATCATTTCCGGTGAATGAAAATTTCCAAGGTAATAATTTTTCACTTTTCAATTATTTTCTAGACGATTCGAATCATTTTTCGCCATATTTGTTTTGATTTCCGTCGGAGACGCGGCGGCTGGAATTTCGCGGTGTGAGTGAGAGAGAGAGAGAGAGAGAGAGAGAGAGAGAGAGAGAAAAAAAAAATCTTCACGGTTGTTGTTGTTATTATCATTATTATTATTTTTTGTAGGTTAAATCGTTGTTACGAAGGTTTTTTCAATTATTTTATTTTATTTTGTTATAGAAAAAAAATTTTTTTTATATTATTTTTATTTATTTATATAAATTGCAACTTTTTTTATGTTTTTCTGGACAGTCTTTAAAGCTGGAATTATCCGGGTTTTCCACCGCGTTTTTCCCGTAATTATTTGTTTATGCTAATTTTTTTGTTAGTTAGTTCATATGATACAACAAAAAATTTAATGATTCTCGTCGTAGAAGCCGCCGCCATTTTTTTTTTTTTTTTTTTTTGCCGACTTCTAACCGTTTTTAGAAGTAAAGGAATCGTTTGAAGAATTGTTAACGTTCGATGAGAAATCATATAACGGTTGTTGTGGTTGTGGTTGTTGACGTTGGTGATTTTGTTCGACGATGGAATTTTTTCCAATCGAGAAACAAGAAGAAGAAGAAAAATTTCCTTCCGCTTGCGATTGCGGTTGGGATTGTTTTTTAAACGGAGATGAAGACGAAGAAATCGACGAGGCGGATGAAGGCGGATGTGGCGATGGCGACGATGATTCGACATCGTCGTTTCCCATATTTGAAGAATTCGTACCATATGGAACCGACGTTTCACCGACGACGACATTGTTCTCCGTGAAAAATAATATTAATTTATCGCTTACCTCCGGATAACGGATTCTTATCGAATCGACAACGTCCAAAAGATTTTTCGCATCCATCGCGAGAGCGTGAGCCGCCGATAACATCATCCTTGAACAAAACGAGAAAGATAACGATAATAATGATAATAATTTTGCCTTTTGTTCTCGCGAATCGAGAACGTTCGATGGACAGACAGACGGACAACCTTCGATATTCGGAATCCAACGTTGTCGAACTGTAGTTGTGTGCTAATTTCATGGCGGTCACGAGGTCGCTCATGTCCTTGCTCAAAACTTTGTGAGCCAGTTGAACTTGCCTGTGAGTGTTCGCGGGTAAAAATTTCAATATGTCGTCGACGGAAGACAATAAATTTCTCAACTGTTGTCCGACGGCTCGAACCAAATCTAAATAATCATCCGCTCGACTCGCTTGAACGCCTTTAAAAACAAACAAACAAACAAAGTTAATTTGTTGTTGTAAAGGGAAAAAGAATAAAAGGAAAGAAATCAAACTCGAACCTTGACTCAGTGACATGACAGCTTTGACGACGTTTGTCGTACAATCGTAAACTTGATCGTTTGTCCTATCGAGATCCGCCGTCGGTGCCGGATCCATTTTTTTAACAATTATCGGCCTTTCTTTTTCCTATTAAAAAATCGTTTTCAAGATTAAAAAAAGTAATAATAATAATAATAATAATAATAATAATAATGAAGAAGAAGAAGAAAAAGAAAAAGAAGAAATGCGTAAACGAACCTGAACAGGTTTTTGATCGACGTTGTTTTGATGAGAAGGCGAACCGCTAAACGCATCCGATGATGACGTAGATATCGACAAACGTTTTTTCTGTCGCAAAAAAAAAAAAAAAAAAAAAAACAAACAATTAAGTGAAAACAAACAAACAAACAAACAAACAGTTTTGTAATTTTCAATCAACTTACGAGATTTGATTCTTTTTCCATGAGCCATTTTGAATCTTCTTCGGATTGTTTTTGTTGTTCTCTCAACCTTCGTTCGAGTAATTCTTGTTCCGTTAATTGGGGTGTGAAAAAATCTTCCCTTTTCGCCAAATGACTGTCGCCGTAGACGGCGGTATCGACTGGAATTTTTTCCTAAAAAAAAAAAAAAATCGAATCAACATTTCACCGTTACAATCATCATCATCATTTATGCGACAACGACAACAACAACAACAACAACAACAACAGCAAACAAACAAATAAATTATAAGAAAATAAAGCAAAATCTACAATGATAAATAATAATAATAATAATAATAATACAATTACATGCCCAAATGCAACGATGACGTCATTTAATAAATTTTTTTTTTCTACTGTTCAACTCATCGGGTTTGTATACATGCAACGAATGCTTCGGAAGTGGGAGAAAAGTGGAGGGAAAAATTAAAAAAAAAAAACTACAAAACTTTCGTGGCACTAGAAAATAAAATAAAAAAAATTTAAATAAAATTCAAATGCAAAACACGAGAGAAAAAAAAAACTAATAAATCAAATTTCGGCAAAACGTAAAACTCAAAAAAAAAAATAAATAAATAAATAAAAGTTTGTCATTCGTATTATGGCGAACCTGAGAACAGGATTGAGTCTGCGATTCTGTATTAACGATCGTTTTACACGATATCGTGTCACCATCTAAAACTTGAGAATTATAAGGCGTTATTATCGTGGAATTAGACGAATTATTAATACGTTTTATCAATGTGAATTCGTTTAAATCCGTTTTTAAATCTGTAAAATCGCTACAGGATAAAGATTTTCCGCCACCGCCGGTGTTGCTTCCGCCGCCGTCATTTCCGTCGGCGTCGACGTCGGCGACGTCGCCGCCGACGGAAACGACGCACTGTTCGGCAAGAGTTTTTTCTAAATTTCCCATTTTTATCGGGCGGGGCAAGGATTTGGTTGTAAATTCTGCTTTATCGATTTTGGTTGTTTTGCTAGTTTCCGAGTCGAAATCGACTGACAAAGTGTTAAAAGCGTTAGCTGGTGTTGTATATACCGATGGATTAATTCCACGTCTCTCGTTTTCCCGGAGCAACTGCACCAAAACTTCCGGATTTTGGGCGACTATGTACGTCGATACTTGCGGAGCTGATGCGTTTGACGAAATCATCAAAGATTCCTGACCGGGATACCTGGATGGTTTCGGTGGAGCTTCGTCGGAACCCGATGAACCTTTGACCGAAAAAAAAAAAAATTTTTCATTTATTTTTCCCGTTTGTTCGTTTGTTCGTTCGTTTGTTTGTTTGTTTCTCGTAGTCTCACTCACCCCATGACATTGCTTGCACTCTCCTATTTTCTCTTCTCATCGTTTCTTGCAATTGATTTCTTTCTTCCATTAATATTTCACTGAAATAAAATTTAAAAAAAAAAAAATTTTTTCTCAATTCGATTATGACGTCATGTTTTAGGTCATTGTTCAACGACTCACTTTAATATTTGTCGAATGTATTTGAACGTCGGCCTTTTACTCGGTTCGTAGTACCAACATTGCGACATTAAACTGTACAATCTGGGTGGGCAATTCGGCGGAAGTGGTAAACGTTCTCCGTTCTCCAATTTTGATATGATGTCGTTATTTTTGACGCCTTGAAAAGGTTTCACGCCCAACATCAATATTTCCCAAATGCAAACCCCTGCAAATTGGAAAAAAAGCAAAGCATTAGCATGCCATTACTACGACTTCTGCTACTCGCTAACGATGGTCACGAACGACAAAAAAGAAAAATTTTTTCCTCACCAAACATCCAAACGTCGCTCGCCGTCGTGAACCTGCGAAAATTTATGCTTTCCGGTGCCATCCATTTGATGGGAAGTTTTCCCTTTGACGATTTATAATAACTTTGATTATCTAAAACTCGGGATAATCCGAAATCTGCGAGTTTAACTGCGTGAGGAGTTGAGACTAGAACATTTCTCGCAGCTATATCCCTGTAAAAATAAAATGGTGGATGACATTTAAAAATTCCGAAAAGAGGAAACAAACAAACAAACAAACGAACAAACAAATTTACCTATGTACAAATTTTTTCGATTCCAAATAACTCAATGCAGTGCTTAATTGAAAAGAAAATAATAAAAGCGTTGCCAAATCTAATCTGGAAGCGTTGCTTTGCAAATAAGCTCTCATTTCTCCGAGTCTCGCCAATTCCATAACGATCCATATGGGACTCTCCGAACAAACTCCGATCAATTTTATTATGTGGGGATGTTCAAACTGTTGCATGACGTCTGGAAGAGAAGAAAATGTCCTCCGGCACGCTCCACAATAAACAACAACAAAAAAAACTTTCAAATCCGAGGATACTCACAAGCTTCTTCGAGAAATTTTTCTCCAGTCGAAACGTCCGAATCCGCTTTGCACGTTTTCACGGCGACGGGTATGACGCTACCTTCTTTCTCCGTGTAACTACCCCTGAATACGTCACCAAATTGTCCCTCTCCTATTATTTCCAATAAATCTATACGCCTCCTATCCAATTCGTATTCTCTCGCTGCGAAAAGAAAAAAAGAAAAATGTCAACAATCTCTTCGGATGCTTTTTTTTTTTAATGGAATCTAGCAGAAGAAAACTTTTGGATCGGATCGTACTAGCCGGAGTCGAATAATCTCCTTCTTCGTCTGCTATTTCCGTGTAATCTTCAGTCAGGGTTGGCGCGTATTTGTTTTCGGAAACGTTTGCCGTCGGTTCCGTCGTCGCAACTTCTTCCTTGTGCCTCTCTGCAAACGTAAATGAATGAAAATTTTCCTTCTCTCTCTCTCTCTCTCTCTCACACATTCGCTCGCTCGCTCGCTCACTCACTCACTAACCTTTCCTCCTCCATATTGAAACGAATATATTCGTCGTTAGGCTAACGTATTTGTCTATGAGGTCCGCGAGGGATTCGGCTTCGTTAATGTCGTTGCACGATATTGTTAAAATCTCCGTCGCTCCTTGAATTTCCAATTGCACGATACCTTTTTCTTTGTTGTCGTAATTTGACGTGAACGTTTGTATTCCACGAATCTTTTCGAAATCCGCAATGCTTATCGCCTGCAAAACGAAAAACAAAACAAAAACACGAATCAGCCACGGCGACAATCAAAACAAACAAAACCAGATAATCTTCGAAAGACGACTTACTCCCGTTCCGATGTGTGTCGTGTAAGAAACGCCAACATCCGGACTTATGACGACTTCTACAGGTACGGACCAAGCAGTCTAGGAAAAAAGGGAAAAATAAGAAATTTAACAAAACAATTGTTACGTGCCAGCAGAAAGCAAAATGTCTGCCTTTACTCACTCCCAACGCGCACTGAAACCTTTCTTCTTCGAATTTGAAATGGATTTTAAATATTTTCAACAATTTCGTCGTGCAATCGAATTCGTTCAGAGTCGAAACCTTTTTGTAATTTTGCTGAATTAATTTTCTAAGAGTTTTGGGTTTCGTGTTTTCAATGAAAATCCTCGGTAAAAATTTATACAGTCCGATCTGTAAAGATATACGTAAAAGGTAAAAGTTTTCCCTTTTCTCTCTCTCTCTCTCTCTATCTATCTATCTCTCTTCGTTTCTCTCTCTCACCTCTCGCTCCAGATATTCGAAACTCGATTTTTTATCCAGGGATATGTAGGATGAATCTTTGAAAAAATTTCGAATCATCAAACAACCTATTTGTATGGTCGTGTCTTGATCGAGATGAGAACAATCGGATGCGAAATAATCGCTTCGGACCTGCAACCAACCAACGAACGATTGATCGATTTCATTTTCGTCGTGTCACGAGACAAACAAATTTTCTTTTTCATTACCTGATCGTAATAGTAACAAAACGTAACCCTATCTCCTTTGTAAACGTCATTCCAATCCCTTGGTATGTAACGTATTCTTAACTCGAACCTCCATCCGTGTGGTTCTTTTTTAAAATATTTTTCCTCGACCTGTTTAACAAATCACTCTGATAAGATATACGACCGCACATTACGACCGTGATGATGATGATAATAATAATAATAATAAGCTAAAGATAATAAAATGACGAATCTGACGATTTTTCCCGTCGGAAAAAAAACAAACAAACAAACGTACAAAATGAAACGAAATAAAAAAGGCTGTGAAAGGGAAAGTTAAAGATGATGGTAGTGGTGGTGGTGGTGGTGGTGGTGCCGACGGTGGTTGTGAGTTTTTGGAAAAAGCGGAAATCGTCGGAAAAATCAAATCACGGGTTGGAAAAACTTTCGGGATAAAATCGAACGAGGCGAAATCACACAAAAATAATTCCGCCCAAGGATTTTCAAATCTGGAAAAGGACGTGGAAAAAGAAAAACGTTAAATAATAATGATAATGATAATTAAAAAAAAAGAATCCTGGAGGGGAAAAACTCCACAAACCTGGAGCATGGTCATGTCCTGATGCAACCAAACCGTTTGTTTCGACGTTAAATTCCTCAATCTCATGGCGTAAAGGTGACGGTAAATTCTCGAATCCGTTGCCAATCGACTCGTGAGAGAAAAAATAATTCCCTAAAAAAAAAAAAAACATTAAAAAAAAAATGCAATGGTACCAATATTTGAAATGCAAAAGAGAAACGGAAATGAAACAGGAAACCGGATAAGGAATTTTTATTGATTTCACAATCGAGTTTAAAAACCGCGAGGGAGGAAGTTGGAAGTTGTCTCGTTCCTCCTTCCTTTTCATACCAAAAAAAAAAAAAAAAAAAAAAAAAAAAAAAAAAAAAAAAAAAAGGTCACGTGGGAAAACGGTCATTTTTGACAAGTGCCACGATAAAAAAAAAAAAAAATTCGAAATTCGAGATTCTTTTTTAGCCACGTCCTTAAATTATGATATATGTACTCACGCACACGCACACGCACACGCATATATATTTGGCGTGACAACCGTAAAGAAGAAATTCATCATAATTTTTTGGAACCGAATCGTTGTTGCCATTTTTTCTTCTCGAAATCCTGTTTTCTACCCGCCCTCTTCCCTCCCCTCCCCCCTCTTTCTCGTTATTTATTTATTTATTTATTTAAAACGTCACGTTTGGTACGCGAAAAAAAAAAAAATTCATTTTTCAAACGGAATTAAAAAAAAAATTCGAAAAAGGTCCTTTGACCTTCCTCCTTACCGGTCGATCGCTTATTACCGAAAGAGAAAATAATAATAATAATAATAATAATAATAATAATGATAATAATTACCTTGATGTCGGATGCATCGTTATATCTGACTATGTTGAATCTACCATCGGGAAGATGAACTTTTAGTGTCGACCTGTCTCCCGCGTTGGGACTACCCGGAACGGGGGGCGTAGTCACGCGACCTCCTTCGCCTATACCTCCTCCACTCATCATATTACCTTCATCGCACCTGATTCGGAGGAAAAATAAAAAAATACAGTAAAAGATTTCAACTTGATTTTACTAATAATAATAATAATAATAATAATAATAATACGAGACTTTAAAAAGAATTTTTTTTTTTTTTTCTTAAATATTTAAGGGGTGTGGCACACACTCACACACACCCCACCGATATTTTTACACGCGCCATTCCATTCGATATCGTTACAGGGCACATCATTCATTCTCATTCTCATTCTCATTCATTCCAATATTTGTAACTCCTCGATTTCGAAAAGGAGAAAAATTATAATAATAATAATAATAATAAAACTTTCCGAACGTAATAATTTGTTAACGGAAAAAATAAATAAATAAATAAATAAAAATGGTGAAATAATTATTATTGCCATGAAAAAAAATTATTGATAATGACACAATGATAATGAGAGAAGAAGAAAGAGAGAGAGAGAGAGAGAGAGAGAGAGAGAGAGAGAGAGAGAGAGAGAGAGAGAGAGAGAGAGAGAGAGAGAGAGAGAGAGATAGAAAGGAAGTCTCGTGTTTGGAATTTTTTTTTCTATTTTTTTTTTTTTTTTTTTATTTTTTTTTTTTTTTTGGTCTATGACCTTTAAAACAATATCAAAATGGCTTGAAAAGTCAATACCGGAAAGAGAGAGAGAGAGAGAGAGAGAGAGAGAGAGAGAGAGATAGAGAGAGGGTTGAAACGATCCATATCAAAGGCTTCGAAATAAGCTTTTTTTTTTTTTCTCTCTCTCTCGTCGTTTAAAAATAAACCCCTTGTAAATCTTTTTTATTATTATTATTATCATCATCATCACCACCACCATTTTTTTTTCTTCTGCTTTTTTTCTTTTTTTTCTTTTTCGATTTTTGTTTTTATTTATTTTAATAAAACCGTTTATCGTTCTATCTTTGAAACCAAGTTTTTCGCATTTTTTTTCTTTTTTCTTTTTCCCTCGTAAACAAACGATATGGGAAGTGTGAACGCACGCACACGCACGCACACACACACACAAGGATAAGAAAACACATGATTAAATAATTAAAATGCCCAAAACGTTTCAAATCACGGTTAAAAAAAAAAAAAAAAAAAAGAAAAAAGAAAAAAAAATTTAAAACCGTTAATGAGAAACTTACTGAACAAAACAAAAAAAATAAATAAATAAATACAAAAACACACGCGGAGAATATCATTATTATTATTATTATTATTATTATTATCATTATTATTATTATTTGCAATCGCATAAAGAATAATGATTAACGTTTTCAGCCTTTTTTTTCTTTTTTTTTTTTTTATTTACGCACGGCTTTATATGCTTTAAAAAATCAGCTTTAAATGGTTACAATGAGATAGGAAACAGGATGTCGAGAGTTGACTCCTACATCTGCGGATGTCAACACTGGAATTTCTAATTACCCGAGAGACCCGTGTTTAAGTATATACATACATATCTTCATTGTAAATCCTGACCATTCGATAAAATCCTCGTCGCATACACACGCACGCACGCACGCACGCACACACGCACGCACACAAACACAAACACGCATCGTCTATCTACGTACGACCATCGCGACCATTCGTCGAATTTTAAATTAAATAAATAATAATAATAATAATAATCATTGCTACTTTTTTTTTCCCGTCGTCTGAATGCTACTAATCAACAAACAAAATTCTCTCCCCTTCCTTCCCCATCCCCCTACCCCCTCACCCGTCGGATTCCACATTCGCGAGATGAAAAATAAAAGTGGAAGAAGAAAATGGCGGAGGATGAGGATGAGGAGGAGGATTGGTACATGCATTAATTTAAAAGTAAAATTAACAATTAATAACAATAAATAAAAAAAATAGAAATAGAAAACTGATATCGTGACACCCTTTTACTATTATCATTATTATCATAAATGAAAAACGTCATAATCATCATTATCATCATCGTCGTCGTCGTCGTCGTCGCCAATCACTTCGTAAAGTTACAACTTTTTTTTTTTTTTTTTTTCTTTTTGAAACTTTGCCATACTAAATTTGGTCATATTGAATATTAAAACTCTCTTTGAAATTTATTATTATTATCATCATCACCGTCATCATCATCATCATCATTATTATTATTATTTTCTTTAAACGGGATTAAAAATTAATTACGATCGCGATTTAAGTGGGGTGCGGTAAGGGGGGATTTTCTCTCATCACTTACGTTTCAACGTATTGTAATCCTCTGTACACGGGTTTCCGGTACACGAAATCCACTTTTTCCACCATTTTCCAAATTTTCTTTTTTAATTGTTCAATAACAATAACAACGACAACCGCAACAACAACAACAACAACAATCGCTCGCTAATAAATTTATTCGGTTACAAACGAAACAACAACATTTACAAAAAAAAAAAAAAAAAACTTGATTTTTTTTTTTTTTTATTTATTTCGCACCGGAAATAAACCCGTAAATCCGTTTGAATTTTTTCAAATTTTCACGACACCACCGCATTTTTTTCTTTCTTTTATTTTCCAACACTACTTCCGTTCGACTTTTTGGGGGGAAGAAAAAAAAAAAAAAAAAAAAAAAAGAAAAAAGAAAATTATTTTCAGGTATTTTAAACAACGTGGGTTGGGACATAAAGTCAAAACATTAAAAACTTCGTCAATGTCCGTCTCGCCTCGTCCCGTCCCGTTTCGTCCGTCCTTCCGTTTGTTAATTTTATTATTATTATTATTATTATTTTTATTATTATTATTATTATTATTATTGTTGTTGTTGTTAATAAATTAATCTTTTTCTTATTACTTCTGCTAAAAAAAAAAAAAAAAATCACAAATCACCGGAAGTCGAATAATGTTCTCACTCTATCTCTATCTCTCTCGCACAAACGAGATCCTGCTAAGGCTGTTTCCGCCTTGTTTTTACTTGTCGTACCGAAACAGAAAAAAAAAAAAAACCCTTCGGTGATTTTCGTCAACGACAACAACAACAACAACAACAATAATAATAATAATAATAATAATAATAATAATAAATACAATAACAAAAACGATAATTAACGAAAATAACTCAATTATTGATCATTAACCCTTTGTAAAACCGTTAACATCATCATCATCATCATCACCACCTTTTATTTTTTTTTCAATTACGAAAATTATTAATTTCACACGCGCACTCACGCACTTACGCACAAGAAAGAGACGCAAATAATAATAATAATAATAATAATATTAGAAATCCTTCCCGAAAGCAATTATTATTAATAATCACGTTATTATTGAAAATAAAATCCTCCTTTCCCCCCCCCCCCCGTACGCGATCGGAAACAAATTAATAAATAAATAAAACTAAAATCGAATCAATCAATCAATTAATTAATTAATTAAATAAACAAAAAATCACACGCCCGGATTTTTTATTAAAACAAACCGCCGACAATCTGGTAGAGAGAGAGAGAGAGAGAGAGACTTCGATCGAATCCTTTACGCTACGGTACGAAAAATTAAATATGTAATAATAATAATAATTAATAATTAATTAATAGTTAATAATAATAATAATAAATCGAAACGAAATAAACTAAACTAAAAAAAAAAAAAAAATAGAAAAAAAAAAAAAACGTGGCGGCGGTGTCGGTGGTGGAACACGATGGGCGGCGGACGGCGAACTGCGTACGTATCGTATCGTATCATGATAAAATATGAGAGAGGACGCAATGGAAACGGTCGCAGTCGACTCATTACGTTTTCATTATTGAGTCACTTTTTTGTTTTTGCCCATTGGAATTCATATTGTGTCTTTCGTCGAGAACATTCGATACGATACGATTCGATTCGATTCGATTCGATTTTTTTTGGAATTTAAACCCGAAATTTTTTTTTTTTTTTTTTCAATTGGATTTCGTTACCGATTAACAAGGGAAAAAAAAATCTACAAAATGCTTTCTCTCTCTCTCTCTCATTTTTCTTTCTTTTCCTTTTAACAAAACTCTCCATCAATTTTTTATTTTGCTGCTACCATCGTCGAACGAATACAAAAAAATTTTAATAAATAAAAAAAAAAAAGGACTTGCGCAACTTAAAACTCCCTAAATAAATAAATAAATGAAAAAAAAAAAAAAAAAAAAAAATCGTTTTGATGCTGTTGTTTCAAATGCTACCGCTTCTGTTGTTATTTTAAGGGTTGTTTTTTCACTCAAAAAGGGGAGAGGGGGGATGAAAAAATTCAAGGAGAGAATTTATTGATTTTTTTCGCGAACGCGACGACGACGACGGAGAGCAAAAAAATTAGCGCGGCGTTTTCCTTTCTTTCTTTCTTTTTTGCGCTGGTCAAGAATTTTTACCCATTTTCTCTCTCTCTCTCTTTAATCTACTTTTACAAGTAAAAAGAAAAGAAAATTTTCTCACGCGACATTTGCGTGATTTAAAAAAAGTCTAAACTGATTGATTGAATTAAAACATACGCACGCACGCACGCACCCATGCACGCACACATGCACGCGATTTCGAATGACTCGATGAAGATGTTATATGTTGACCCCCTTTTTCTTTTAATAAAAAAAAAAAAAAAAAAATTGTAATTTTTATTAATTGCATTCTTCTTCTTCGTCATCATTCTTATAATACATTAGAGAGAGAGAGAGAGAGAGAGAGACACACACACACAAACAAACAACAACAACAAACGGTTTGTTTTAAAAAAAAAAAAAAAAAACCCTGCTGGTAAAAATGAAATTATTTATAAAAATAAAACCGCCGTAAGAGAGAAAGGGGGAGAGAGAGAGAGAGGGGTGGGGAGGGAGGGAGGGAGGGGAAACAAAAAATTCACTTTCAACGGCTGTGTAATGACTTTAATAAAAGTCGTCTGCCCCACCCAGTGAATTTTTTTTTTTTTTTCAATAAACACAAACAAACACAAACACAAACACTCACAACAACCATCGTCGATACATTGTATTGACTAAGTGGTTATTTTAATGGTGATCATCCAAAAAAAAAAAAAAATTATATGGTTCATATGATTCTGAGAAATGATTAACACGACCAGACAAACACGTATACGCGCACGCACGCACGCACCCCGCACACGCACGCACCCACAAAACTCTTCCAATTTTCCGTTAAAAAAAAATTTCCTTTAAAATTATAACCTTGTTCGCCATCGCCAAATTTTTTTTGTATTTTCTAACGATTAAAAAATTATTATTATTATTATTATTATCAATAAGAAAACAAACGAACGAACAAACAAACAAAAAACCACACACAATTTGCGATTAGGTGAATTTGTATGCAAGCGACCGATTACAACAAACAAACAACAACCAAAAAAACAATAATTTTTTTTTCTTTAGTTAATTTTAAATTGAATTTTAAAAATCATTTAAATTTCTTCTGCTTTTTTACTTGAACAAAAAAAAAAAAAAAAGGCGTTAATGATGATGATGATGATAATAATAATAATAAAGCCTAATTAATTTAATTTGTTTTTGTAATTTGTCGCGTAATCAATACAAACGTTATCAGTGACAACAACAACAACAACAAACGAATTAAAATCCAATTTTTTTTTTTTTTTTTTTTTTTTTTTCTATTAGAAATGATATCGATGATGATGATGATGATGATTATGATAAATGATTTTCTTGATTTAATTTTAATAATAACAAATGTTTTTTTTTTCGTTTGTAGTAACAAACAAACAAACAAACAAACAAACGAACGAACAAACGAAAAAAATTTTTTATTATTTATTTTATCTCCTCCTTGACTATAACATTACCTACCCCACAGATTGTGTTGAAAACTGGGATGAATGACTAATCCCAACATAAAATTCAAAACTAATAATAATAATAATAATAATAATAATAATAATAATAATAATAATAATAATATTAATAATAATAAAATTTTGTATTTTATTGTTTTTTTTTTTTTTTTGTAACCGTTTATCAGTCACATTTTATTTGTTTTAAAAAAAAAAGTTTTGCTACTCATTCTAATTATGGAATTGAAAATTTATTTTTAAAATATACAAAATCAAAATTTTTTAAGATAATATCGATGATAATAAGTTTTTTTTAATAATGTTAATTACCACCGCCCCCCTTTTTCCATACCCCTCCCCACAAAAATAAACTGTAAACTGTTTGTATGAGCATGTGAAAAAATTATATTCGAATGATGAGCGATAAAAAATTTTTTATCGAATGCTATTGTTAATGTAACACAAAAAATTGTCATCGTTATATATATATTTTTCATTCACACATAAAAATTTCGATTCAAACAATGGAAAAATATTTAAATAGAAAGAAAATATTTGATTCTATTTAATTAAATTAATGTAAAATTTATCATCATTATTTTAAACTCATCAAAAAAATTCATTCAATTAAATTTTACTGTCAATTGTGAGAATTTATCGATTCTTAAACGATATCGATTCGAATTAATCGAAATGATTTCATGTATAACTAAAACAATGCAAACGATTAATTTTAGCAAAATTTTACTTCATATTATAATATTATATGGTTTGTATAATGTTTTTGTAAATTACTTATCTTTTTTTCTTTTAAACAAAAATATTAGCAATTAATTTGTATGTAAAAATATAAATTTCAAAAAAAATATTTATCGAGTAAAATGATTAATCAGCAATTACTCATTTTTCACATTAATATTTTTTTATTTACATTTTTATTTATTTAATTCATTATTTGAAAATGTGTTTTATAAAAACATTGATAATAATAATAAATAAATAAATGTGTTGATATTGTTTTAAAAAAAAAAAAAAAATTATGATATTCTAATTAAAACAACCAGTTCGATTGTTCATCTCTACTAAATTTGATTTTTTTATTAAAATTTATTTTCTCAACTTGAAAATATTATCGAATAGTAAATGAAAAAACATGTTTTAAATTTTTTTTTTTTTCCCAACTGTGAAAATAGTAAAATAGAAAAATATTATATTTTATTTCGAAAACGGTAATTTATTGAAAACAAGTTTAAAAATTTATATTCTTTGGGGGCACTTCTCTTATGAGGTCAGGTGAAAATTAAATGATTTATATTACTAAATATTTATCGTAATTTTCGTTTGATTTATAAATAAAATAAAAATATTTATGATAAAAATTAATATTCTTATGCGATATTTAATTTTAAGTATAAATAAATAACCGAATGTAAAGCAAAAAAAAAAAAAAAAAAAAATTATCAAAATAACGTACCTTTATGATAATGAACCAAATAATATCTGAACCTATTTTTAACGTTTAAATTTCCGTTTTACTATTAAATTATAACGTAAATCATTTTATGGCACCGTAAAAAAATGTGAAAAAACGTTAAAAACGAACTAAATTAAAAAATTATGGAATGTACTGTGTGTAAATTATTTGTCTTTTTTTATAAAATCACTTTCTTACAATAAACAAGATTTAATCGTGTCATAAGATAATTGCTGAAATAGATTAATAATTTTTCGTGTCAGCAGATATGTAAAATATGTTCGATTATATTTTATTTAAATTAATGTTTTTTTTTTTCCTTTTTCATTTATTAATTTAAATATATTCAATTAAAATTATGTAATTTATTATAAATTTTTTAAAAAAATTTCTCTCTCGTCAATTAAATATTATCCTAATGCAAATAATTTTGACCTTTGGTTTGAAAAGAAAAAAAAAAAACCAATTAAGCAATTTAAGACTTCAGAATTATTTTATTTAATTTATAATTTATTTATACGCAGAATATCATTCATTAATTGAATTATCCTGGTGTGACTTTATTATCAATTAGTATAAAATTAAAAAAAAATTATATGGCTAAGTAACGCAATACAATTAGAAAGCCATACTTATTAGAGCATTTATAAGATAAATATAATTATTATTAATCTTCGGATTTTTCCGGTGGTGGACCACACGGCTGAAGCATTCTTTCCATTAAATTAAACTTAACTCTCGCTTTAGATTCGTTTTCTGATATTGCGAAAAAATTTAATAAATCATAATGTCCCATGTAAGATGCCGAACTATCTCTATGTTGATTTACTAACCATTCAAATTTTGTAGTATCTGCATGACCTGTTCCAATATATTTCGATTGAAGATGTTCCAATTGACTGTGAATATTATACCTGTCACCCATGATTATTATAATATATACAAATATCAGTTTTGACGAATAAAATGCATCAACCTGAAATTACCCAGTACACCAAAATGAAATATTACTTTTTGTATTTATAAGAATTCTCTTAAACAAACACATACATATAAATTTTATCAAAATTTATTAACGTTTTTACCTTATTTTAATTTAATAATACATAAAAATGCAACTTTTTATTTATTTATTAACTTATCAACTATAAGTATCTCGTCATTAATTAACTTACTAAACGATCGAAAATTTAATTAATTCCAATTAATAATAAATAAAAATTCTTTTTTCCTTTTATTAAATTTTAATAACCAATATACTTACATGCATACATGTATTGTTTACGAGCAGTTAAAAAATCTATGAAACATTGTTACCAACTTAAACTTTTCGAGTTCGTTAAAATTAACAATTGCATGCATTGATTCGAATAAATGGCTGTTTACTTTTTAAACTTTCGCGGTAAAAAATTCCAAATAATTTCTTTATTATTATTATTAATGCGTTAAATAAAAAAGAAAAAAGTTACAAATCAGTTATTTAGTTACTTTTATATTATAATATTGATAAAAAGTATTATATTGATTAAAAAAAGAAAAGAAAAAACAATTTAAAGTAAGTAATAATAATATTTCAATTTTAAAAATGGTGATGTCTATGATCATATTTTTTTTATCAAAAATGACATATTTTTAATAGAATCAAATTTAATTTTGATATTTTAATTAATAATATTTAAATTTAAATAATTAAAAATAAGTAATGGGTATAAAATTGTGAATGATGTTTGATAATTTTGACAAAAATCAATACAAAAATTGTTTGAGTGTGTAAAATGAGGTATAACCATAGAAAAAAAAAATGGAAAAAATGAATCCACCCCCACCACCACCACCACCACCACAACAACAAACAACAACATTAAAAACAAATTGACATGATTTTAAAACAAAATTATTAATTTTTATGTTTTATACACACACACACACAAACACAAAGTTAAAAAAAAAAATGTGCTTTATCTCTTTAACATCATCAATATGATTTCCAACAAATTATACTTTTTCTTTTTTTTTTTAAAACCATTTTCAGATTAAACCTTTTGAAATAAAATAAAAAATTTCCATTTTTTTTTTATTTATTTTAACTTAAAACTAATTCGAACCAAATAGTCAAAAAAAAAAAAAAAATTCATTAAAAGTAGGGAAAAAGTAGGAAAAAAAAAAAAAAAAAAAGAAAAGAAAAAATTTAATTTTTCAAGTCGCCATATTTGTTCTAAATTACCAAACCATTGGTTAAAATAATTTTTATTTTTTTAACTATTTATTATAATTTCATTATTATTATTATTTATTTAGGTTTTTGCGTGTGTGCGTGCGCGTGCCTGTGCATTTACCCGTGAATCGGAATTTAATGTTCTGCTTTTTGCTTTTCTTTAAATTTGCACTTTCTCAATGTGGCGGCGTCTCAATATATATATATATATTTAGTAAATTCATTTTGGTTCAAGAGTTATTTTATTCCGTTATCAAGTGACGCACGTTTTTCTTTTTTTTCTTTTTCTTACATTCATTTTAACAAAATAATAATAATAATAGTAATAGTAATAATAATAATAATAATAATAATAAATAACGGTTTTAGTGAATAGTGTGTGTCTGTTGTTTTAGTTTTTTTTTTCTTTTAATAAATTTTTTTTTAAATTTAATTTTATTGAAAAGAATTTTTAAAATAAAAAGGTAAATTATTATTATTATTATTATTTTCATCAGGTTTTTTTGGCTGTTTTGTTGTATATTGAATACACACGCACACGCACACGCACACACAAAAGGAGGAAAAAGTAAAAAAAATTGTCGAAAGTTAAAAAGAAACCAAAAAAAAATTTATATATAAATTATTATATGAATGGATGAGAATGGTTTGGTGATGAAGATGATGATGATGATTATGGAGGTTGTGGTGGTGGTGGTGGTGGCGATGGTGGTGGTGGTGGCGATGGTGATGGTGATGGTAATGGTGGTGGTGGTGGTGGTGGTTGTGTTCGCACACCTCGTTGATAGTGCAAGTAGTGACCGTGTTGGTTGGAGAAGAGTGAAAGTTTTAAGTTGCTCCCACATTCGAGATCAACTTCTTTTCTTATTCTTTAACGAAAATTTCTCTCTCTCTCTCTCTCTCACACACAAGAGTTGAAAGGTTTTTATTATCATCATCGTAGAAAAAATCAAATAGTCGTTCATACGCGTTTCGAACAATCGGATTGTGTGTGTGTGTTGTTTGTTTTGTTTGTTTTAAAAATCTTTTTTTTTTTTTTTAACTTTTTAAACTTTCCATTTTTTTCTCTTCTCACCTCTTCCTTACTCTTGTTAGTTAATCATCATCATTATCATCATTAAAATCATGTTAACCTGAAATCATTTCTTTCCTATCCTATCCTTCCTTTCCTTTTCCTTTTTTTTTTTTTTTTTTTTAAAGGAATCTTCTGGAATAATCTGGGGAGTTATTATTATTATTATTATTAATTTTTGATATGATGAAAACAAACGTGAAAAAAACTTTTCTTTTTAATTTTTTTTTTTAAATGGAAGCAGACGATTTTTTTTTTTTTTTAAACACGTTAAAATAAATTTTTTGTCGTTATCATATCGACGACAACCGATTTATTATTATTATTATTATTATTTAAATGTCGATAAGACAAACAACAACGAGAAAGTACCAAAAAAAAAATTGTTAAGCCAAAAAACGCAACCTTTTCCTATCTACGTCATTAAGTACGATATTATCATCATCATCATCATCATTATCATCATTATTATCATTCGATATACACAAATGTCAAACGTTCGTCATCCTAACAAATTCCTTTTTTTCCCAAACGGGAGAAAGGATAAAAACTTACGCAATATGGCGGAGGGCCCATACGATGCAGGAAGGAAGGAAGGAATAAAGGGGAAGACAATGAGGAGAGCAAGGAAGGGCGGGGAAGTGAGGGGGGGGAAAGGGAAAGAAAAGTAAAAAGAAAAGTATTAGAAAGAAAAATCATAATAAAGTGAAAGTTTTTTTTTTTTTACTGTCACTCATTAGCGGGTACTACGTTCAACTACTACTACTACTCGTGAACCAGTTTTTTCAAACGGACTTTTTTTTTTTTTTTTTTTACTTAGGTATAATAATACGTCGGTGAATGTGAGGTCAGGAAAGAGAGAGATAGTGAGAGAGTGAGAGAGAGAGAGGGAGAAAGAGAGAGAGAGAGGATAATACGAAAGAATTCCGGATAGAACGGAGAGAAAGTTATTCTTAAACCACGTGGTCATATTTTTTTTTTTTTTTTTTGATACCTGGAGGGGGGGATTTGTGAAAAAAGAAATTTTTTTTTTTTTTTTTTTTTTTTACGACCCGTGTAATTTATTTTAACTTGACAATAATAATCATCATCATCATCATCATCGCATCGTGCGGCATTTTCTTTTTCTTTTTCTTTCCAGTCGAAAAAATTTTTTTTTGTCATTCACACGCATCGTCACAATCACGTATTATCATCATCATCATTATTATAAAGGTCAAATTTTTACAAATTAATTTGAAAATTAATTTTTTAGCGGGTACCGATTATTATTATTATTATTATTGTTATTATTATTGGTTTTTTTTTTTTCAATTAAAATATTAATTAATTAATTATTAATTATTTTGAAGGTTTTTTTTTTGTGAAAGTTTTTTTTTAATTTTTTTTTTTTCCATTATCGAAAAGAAACGAGTCGCGTGAGTGCGTGTGTGCGTGTGTGCATAATAAAAACGGTTTTTTTATTAATAATAATAATAATAAATTGTCGGTTAAACAGGTTATATCCGTAACGAGCCAACGAACAAACAAACAAACGAACACAAAAGTAACAAAAAATAAAATAAAATAAAATGGGACAAAATAAATATTTCGACGTGGAAGAAGACGGAGATGAATATACTTTTCCAGGTTCGGACGAATTGAAAAAAATAGCAGAAGACGAACTACGTGAAACGGATAGTTTGAGAGCGACGAGTTTAAAACAATTAAGAGAATGCATAAGAAAACATCCGGATATAAAAAAATGCAGGACAGGTAATGAGAATGATGATGATTACGACTTTACGGGGCGGCGGTGGCGACAGCGACAGCGACAGCAGCAGACGAATTTTATTTTTCTTTTCTTTCAGATTCTGCTTTCCTGTTGAGATTTTTAAGGACGAAAAAATTCAGCGTACCCTTGGCTTTGGCCATGATTGAACGTTATCTCGCAATAAGACAATTATATCCTCAATGGTTTAGAAATTTAAACGTCGACGATCCCGTGATAAATGATATCATTGATAAAGGTTATCTCGTACCTTTACCACTCAGGTACATTTTTCTATCTTTTCTTTCTGTCTCTCTCTCTTTCTTTCTTTTGTTTTAAATGTTAAACCTTTTTTTTTTTTTCTCATCAAAGAGACGAAAATGGAAGAAAAGTCATTTTTTCCTGCCCTGGTAAATTCGATCCTTATAAATACACGGCTGCGGACATGACGAAAACTCACAGTTTGGTCGTCGAATGTCTCATGGACGATGAAGAAAATCAAATAAGGGGGTAAATATATATCATCATCCCTCATCCTTGTTTTGTTTCCCCTCCCCCATCTCTCTCATCTTTTCTCCCTTTTTTTTAGGTACACGTACGTTAACGACGAAAGCGGTTTGTCGATGGGTCACATTTCCCTCTGGTCCTTATCCGACATGCGTAGCCTTATGAAATGCATACAAAATTCAACTCCGATGAGGCATAAAAGCACTCATTTCATTAACATACCACATTACGCGAATAAAGTTTTTGAATTTTTCCTCGGATTGTTAAATGATAAACTCAAAGGAAGAGTTATGGTGAGATATTATCATTATCATCATCACAGTTTTCTCTTTTCTCTCTCTTTTTAACGTGTTTTCTCGCGTTTTCTCGTAGAGTCACGGAACTTTGGATGATTTTAAAGAACACATTTCACCCAAAATCCTACCCAAAGAATACGGAGGTGAAGTTCCACTCAAGGACATGATAGGTAATTATCATTATGATTACTTTTAAAACGCGCATGCGCACGAGACAATAAATAAATAAATAAATTTTGACGTACCTTTAGAACAATTCAAAGAAGTCATGAAAAAACAAAAGGATGCCATCGCTGCATTGGAAGAAATGGAAATCGACACGTCCAAAAGAAGTAAAATTGCCGATTTGGAAGATGAATTGACCGGAGTCGCCGGATCCTTTAGGAAGCTGGAAGTAGATTAAATTTAAAATAAAAATAAATATTAATTTAAATTTAAATTTAAATTTAATTTTTTTAAAATAAAATAAAATTAAATTAAATTAAAAAAAAAATATGTCGGTATTTAAAATCAATTTAATTATTGTGATTTTTTTAAGTTATTACTATTATTATCATTATTATTATTATTACTATTATTATTTTTACTCGTAATTATTATTATTATTATTATTATTATTATTATTATTATTGTAAATATTATTACTATTATTATTATTATTATTATTAACTTTAAATTTGTTTTTTTATTTAAAAAAAAAAAAAAAAATTTTTTATTTAGAAGGATTCGAGTCCTTTTTTCAAAAAAAAAAAAAAAAAAAAAAAAAAAAAAAAACTTTACGTCAGCCATGACGTCAGCGATGACGATGATGATGATGATAATAATAATGATAATAATAATAGCAGCAAATTTAACATTTTTTCACTTAAAATTTTAAATAAAAAAAAAAAATGGCGTCTCCGTCGGTAACACAGTTTTACTTAATTTTTTTTTTTTTTTTTAATAACTTTTTAATACTTTTGTTATTATTATTATTATTATTATTGCTGTATCGTAAAGTAACTTTTCTTTAATTATTAATACTATTATTATTATTATTTTAATATTCGAGGTAAAAAAAAAACAAAAACCTTTTTAATCGTAAAAAACTTTTTAAAAAATTTATTCTCGTGAATTTCCTAAATAAAAATTACTTATATATATTTATCGTTTATTTATTATTATTATTATTATTATTATTATTAACTATTATTATTAACTATTATTATTAATAAATAAGGTCGTTTAATTAATTCTATTATACATATATATATATATAAATTTATTACGTTTGATGATTTATTTTCAATAAAAACGTAACCTTGGTGGTTCTATAGTTACCCGTCTTTTTTTTATTATTATTATTGTTTGTGTTAATTTTAAGAAATGTATTCTATATCTTTTTTTTTTTTTTTAAATTAAATAAATTTATTATTATAATTATTATTATTATTTAAATAAACTATTATTTTAATATTTAAATACAAAAAAAAAATTATACTCCTTAATATACTATAACGAGTGATAATAATTTAAAATCATCCTTAAAAAATTATTCAGGGGGTAAAAATTATAATTTTAAAATAGTTTTTCCCTTCCCCCTCCCTCCCCACGAATGAAGGAAGAATAATAATAATAAACAAAAAAAGTAAACAAATAAGTAAACATAAATAACGATCGTGTCATTAGAACGAAAAAAAAAAAACATTAAAATAAAATTTTAAAAAAAAAAAACCTTTTTCGGAATAATTAATTCCCTTTTTTTTTTTTTTTTTTTCCAAACTTCCCAAACGACAACAACAACAAACAAAACAACAACAACAACAACAAACAGAACAACCCAGAACAACAACAACAAGAAAAATTAAAATAATTTAAATTTTTTCTTTTCTTTTTTTTTTTTTTTTCCCCCCCCCCCCCCCGGGAAGACGATAACGATAACGATAACAACAACAATAACAAAAACAATAACAATAACAAAAGGAAAATAATAATAATAATTTATTTTTTTTTTTTTTTAAAAAAAAAATTTTTTTTTAATGTAAAAAACTTTTTTTTTTCTTTTTCTTTTTTCTTTTTTCTTTTTCTTTTTTCTATTTAAAAAAAAAAAAAAAAAAGAAAAAACAGGGAAATTAAAAAATTTTTAAGTATACGTATGTATATATATATAAATATATATGTGCGATAACGATGATAACGATGATGATGACGATGAGAAAATTATCAAGAGTTTAAATTTAATAAATAATAATAATAATAATAATAAGGGAAATAATAATAATAATAATAAAAGTCAATTTTTTTTTCTCTCTCTCTTTTGTATAATCCTTTTTTTTTAATCAATCATGGACGCCATTTATAACAATCATAATTTTTTATCCGTGTGTGAATTTTTACCAAATCATTTGTATTTTGTTACCGTTCAAAATATAAATAATGGCGGATCTTGCGATGCTATCATACCCCACACCGACAACATACATTTTTTCAACACGGACAACGAATTTATTTATCATAATTTCTACGGTGATTTCGGACCTTTAAACATAACCTGTAAGTTTTCCTTTCTTTCTTTAACCGGAAGTAGAAACAAGCAAAACGAGAACTTGAGGAATCACCCGTTCGTATGTTGACGTCATCACCATCACCATCGATTCTTTTTTCTTTTTTAGGCTTGTATAAATTTTGTAAAAAATTAACGAATAAATTAGCCACATACGGCGGCGATGTTTTCTACGAAAGATTTAACAATTCGAGATTCGGTAGAAAAGAATTGACGGAAAAACTACGTGGAAAATTCGTTAAAAAAAAAATCATTGTTTATTACACGTCAACGAATAATGAGAAAAGAGCCAACGCCGCATATTTGATCGGTGGCTATGCCGTTTTGTATTTGGGATTCAGGTACCCCCATCAGCTCTCCATTTTTTTTTTTTCCCCGTCATTCATTCCTTTATTTATTTTTGTCGTTTTCCTCAGTCCTAGATTAGCATACAAAGTTTTGCAACCTAACAAAATGAGGTATCGTCCGTTTCAAGATGCTTCCGTCGGCGTGTCACCCTATAAGATAAACATGAAAAATTGTTTGGATGCCCTACACAAAGCGAGCATATTCGGATTTTTCAATTTCAACGATTTCAACACGATCGAATGTTCTCATTACGAAAACATCGAACACGGGGATTTGAATTGGATAGTCCCCCAAAAATTTATCGCTTTCCCCGGTCCCGTCGAAGAAAAAAACGATTACTATCATCATCCCTATTTTTACATTGAATATTTTTTATCCAATCACGTGACGGATGTCGTTCGTTTAAATCAGAGAGCATACGATGCCAAATGGTAAGTGACCCCCCCCCCCAAAAAAAAAAATTAATTTTTTAAAAAAAAAATTCTTTTCCGCCGCTAACAAATTTTTCTTTTTTTTTAGTTTTACCATGTTTAACATAAGACATCACGATTTGTACATGCAAGACGGTGCCGATCCTCCCGAGGGAATATTAAAAACTTTTTTAAAAATTGCTGAAAGTGCTCCCGGTGCCATTGCAGTTCATTGCAAGGTTCGAAATGAAAATAATAATAATAATACTTTCGTTTCCATGTGCCATCCACTACTTATAATAATTTTTTTTAAGGCTGGCTTGGGAAGAACAGGTTCCCTTATCGGCGCCTATTTATTAAAACATTATAGAATGACTGCAAAAGAAGCCATTGCTTGGATAAGAATATGTCGGCCGGGATCCGTTATAGGTCACCAACAAACCTGGTTGGAAAATCACGAAGAATCCCTTTGGTACGAGGGAAACGAATGGAGGTCAGCACTTCTTTTTTTCTTCTTCGAATGGAAACATTTTTGAAAATCTTACTAACATAAATAACAATTTATAATTTAAGGTACAAAATCTACGGTAAGAAAGAAATCGTACCGTTTTTACCGCACGGAATTTACAGTAAGGAAACGCCCAAATTAGAATTTCCCGGTTTGAAAGACCTACTCAACAATTTAACGAAAAGATCGCGATATAGATTCGTCGTTAAGAATAGATCTAAGAAATCAAAGACAAAATTACAACAAGTTATTAAAAATTTATTGGACAACGGTAAGAGTACGAAAATGGTAACTCCGACGGAAGACATAGACTCGGAAAAATTATCGATGAATCCTTCCGGCGAACAAAACGTATCCTTCGCATTAAAACCATCCGAAACGATGATGATAAACGAGTTACAAACAAACAATGACAATCACAACAACAACAACCACCACCACAACATACACAACAACATGCACGGGAAAAATTTACATTATTTAAAATC